GCACATTGTCCATTTGCTAGTCTAATCCAGACCTGGCCAGATAGTCAAGTATGGGCTGTGTAGATATATCACTCTCCAATCCTTGCACAACAGAATCTATGACCTTCCCTCCCTCCCCTACTTTCACTCCATCCCATAGTACTTACCAGATGCCAGAACCTTAAGGAACAAAAAGGATCTGCCATCCTGAGCTGTGAGTTAATGGCAGTTGTATCCAATCTTGACTAATAGGTTTCCTAGCACTCTGTTAAGCATACTTTGTGGTCTGCTGGGAAGTCTCCCTCTCACCTAACTGGAAAAAATTATACCCAGTGTTATGTTTCAGGGAAACAATGAACTCTCTAGACTTTAATCTGTTGAGGTTTCTGCGTGACTTCCTCAGATCTCATATATAATACTAAGAAAAGGTGAATGAGTCCCCTCTGCTCCAGTTTAACAATGAAAAGCTGGAAACACATCCAAAAAACTCATGTCAATTCCTCCTCACTTGTCACAGATTTATGCATTTTGCTACCTAAAAATTCTGTGTTTTACATCAAAGGCTTTTACATCTTCCTATTTGGCAAACTGGAAAAATTTAATTAGAGACACTATAAAATGATGAAAAAGCAAAATCCTCACAGAACTAGTAACAATTTTTTCAATGATCTCAATTCAATGCTACAAATTCCAACATATTTCCTTTCTCTGATCCCCGCAGTCCTTACAGTTTCTGCATTCCCTGAAACCCCAACAGTAACTTAACATCTGCAGGATCCATTTGGTACTTAGTGCTGATCTCTTGCAGTATGGTCTATTGTGTTGTGCCATTGATTCTCTGTATTTTTTCCTTTCCCTTGAAGTTCCTAATACAATAGTTGGTTGGTTTGTTACTTAGTTAGAATATCAAAGCAGCTGGTGTATCATCCTCACAAATCCTTTGTTTTTTTACTAGTACTGGCTTACTGCCCAGGCCAGCCTCTGGTAAGAGCTCATATTTTTCCTTAGTTGTCCATTTTCCCTGAATGTTGCAAGGAAGCCATGCATGGGGGCAGGAAGAAATCAGGAGTCCAAGGAAAGGCAGCTTCTGCTTCTAACCCTAAATACTTTTCTTCCATTATCACCCAGAAGGAAGACCCAACATACACACACACACACACACACACACACACGGATCAGCTACAGCTACATAATTTTTGCCCCATGTAAAATGAAAATCTGGGAGCATCACAGAGCGAGAAACTCAGCCTGGCACTCTGTGCCAACTTGCTTTGGTGCCAGCAGGTGAGCAACCCTGGGAGCTTGTCAGAACTGTGGGTTCTCAGACTGCACCTTAGAACCACTGAACTGGCATCTGCACTTAAACAAATCCCCAGAAGACTCTGTGCGCATTAAATTTGGAGAAGGTAACTAGAGCTCTTTATTTGATGTTGCCCTGATATTACTGACTTCTCAAGATACTCTGGGTAGCAAGTTCCTCTAGGGTTCTCAGAGGTTGACAAGTGTAAGCCTGTAGAAAGAGGAAGATGACCAGAAAAGGGACAAGAAATAATGAGTTGGTTCAGCGATGTATGAGGCCTGATGTCACTGTCCTCAGCTACATGCTACCAAGTAGCACAACTGCAGTTAATCAAATTGAATTTTCAAATGATACAAATGAGGGAGGACGCACACAACAGACACTGTGGAAGCATGTTTTCAAATGGGAGTTAGAAGGGTTTCGGTGTAGGAGTTGGAATTGCAATAGGTGGTTTGTTTTTATGCATTAAAATTCACCAACTGTTTCTGAATTTTGGATCACAGTTAGACTTTCTCTACTCTAAAATTAAATAGGGCCAGGCATGGTGGCTCAAGCCTGTAATCCCAGCACTCAAGAGGCTGAGGCAAGGGGATCATTGGGAGTCCAAGACCAGCCTGGGCTACAAAGTGAGCTCAAGGCCAGCCTGAACTTCATAGGGAGACCCTGTCTCAAAGACCAAAAAAAAAATTAAATTAAATTGTATTATATTAAGTAGGAAGTCATTTGTGTTCTGCTTCTATTTGTATCTTTTTTACGCTTATATTTCTAGTTCAGTTTTACTGTAATTTTATATAAAATATTAGCAAGAATCTACTTTTATACTTTGGCAAACAGCCACTCAATTTTTTCGGCATTGTTTTACATCTGTTTTTTGTTTTTGCTCCATTGACTTGAGATGCCACCTTTATGGGTCATACCAAGTTTCCCAAGTTACTTCTATTCTTAGGCTTTCTGTTCTGTTTACTGGTCTTTTGAGCTATCTGTGCACCAGTACCACTGTTTTAATTACATAGACTTTATAATGCATTTTAATGTGTGATAAGGCTATTTCCTGTTTCCTTTTTAGTGTTTTTCTAACTATTCTTGCACATTACACTACACCCCCACTGAGTCCTTCCCACAGATTTTTCCTTAATATCTAACTAATAATTGTTCGGAGAAACCCCTGTAATTTCGTGGAAACTGCAAATATCCTCAGCAATTGTTTTTGGCCAGAGATTTGCAAGTAGCCAATCTGAGAGTGTCATTCAGTTCTCCTTGCTGCAAAATGGCTGCGGTCCTCTGACCCATCTCCAGCAGATGCACCAGCTTTCCCATCATAACATGTCACTGTGCCACAGATAGCTAACTCAAGTTTTGTTCTTTTGAAAGCCGTAAGATCCCTAAGATGCCACCAAAATGCCCTACACCAAGTCTTTATTAATAACAGCATTTTACTAAATTATGTAACTGGGGGAAACAAAAGCATATTTAGGATTTAAAACTATAAAACAGGCACTTGAATTTTGTTGTTTCTCACAATTCGCAGCTCTAGGAACGTAACCCCCTCAAATTTCAAGAGTTCCTTATAATTCCTTTCTATATTGTACTTGCCAAAAATGCATAACCTGAGTTTAATCATGAGAAAATAAAAACTTAACCTATAAAATAATGGGCTAATACTCTTCAAAGGAGCCAGTCATGAACAAAAAAGAATGAGGAATTGTCTTAGGTTAAGAAAGACTATGAAGACAACAAATACACTGGGGATCTAGATAATAACAGGTCCACAAAGGAGCTTAATACAAGTGATGACATTTGAATGAGTTCTATAGATAATAATAATGTTTAAGTATTGATTTCCTGGTTATGATTTTACTGTGTTCATATAAGATACAAACATTTGGGGAAACAGGACAAAGGATATAAGTAAATTTTATATTTTTGACATTTCTTTGTAAGGTTGAAATGATACAAAATTTCAAAGTTAAAGAAAGTAAGATTTTAAAAAACAGGTATGATGGTTCCTCTCAGCCTCTGAGGCAGTAGGATCAAGAGATCAAGGCCACCCTGGGCTACATAGCAAGAGCTTATCGCAAGAAAAAAAGCTGAGAAAAATTTAAATCAGAAATATATAGTGTTATACAGTATGTGTATATATAATTTACTTATCAAACATTTAACTATTTCATATACAATAAATACCTTTGCCAAGTGGAGAAGTGTAGTTGTTACAAACAAGACCAAAGCAAGGCAGTACTGCTGTGGAAGGGAATTTTGGGGGGCATCTCATACAGCAGTGGCTTTGATTAAACTGCCAATATAAGAAACAGGCTCATACAAAGTTTAGGAAGTCTCTCATGAGGACCTGCCAAGCACTGCTGGGTGATGTGGGCCTCATTTCAGATGGCAGGCAGGATGTTTCTGTCTTAAATGTGTTTTGCCCAGGTGAAAACGTCCAAGGTGAAGGATGCACATTATGGTCCTTAAACCTACGAATGCCAGCCAGTCACACTGCTACTGAAGTCGCCCACAATATGTGTCCACTAAGATGCAAGCTTACTAAATGGTTGAAATGTTTTACCAAGTTGTATTGTTTCGCTTGAAATGAATATGGAAAAACGACAATACTATTGAATAGCAACTTAAGTCAGTGTGGTCTCCTGGTTCTGCTTCTTCGCTGTCTAACCATGAGTAAGTTATCTTTTCTGTACCTCAGTTCTGTTAACTACACCGTGAGGATAACAGTTCCTACCTCATAGACTACTGTAAGAATTAAAAGGACTAATGCCCAAAAGTGTGTGGCGATACTGATCACATCATAAATGTTCGCTGTTACTATTAAACAGATAGGTCTATAAATAATTACAACAAAATATTTTAGGAGAAATATCGTACACATAGAAAAAACCTTACAAGTCACTTAAAAACTCTACTTAGAACGATCTAAAGTCTTTAGTGAGACAGCTGAGGTGACAAAGAAAGCCCAAGCCGGGGGCAATGCCAGAGTTCTGGAAGCCAAAAACAGAATGGCAAGTTCGAGTTCATCTAGAAAAGGGGGGGTGGGGGGATAGAAACGTAGTTCAGTGGAAAAGTTCTGGGTTCAACTCCCAGTAACAGCAATAACCCAAGATGTGGGGAAAATGAATGCTCACCATAGCTTGGGCACGAAGTCAGCGATCTGAGTTATATGCTACCACAACTCCGCAGGATATGTCCTTTCATTTTGGAAGAAAGCTCTGAGAAGTTAAACTTGGTTTGTGTCAGGCACACATAAATGAAAGAAACCGATTTTTTTCTCTCTCGCCTCCTGACGCCAGGGAGGAACCCAGGCCCTGCAGCAAGGTGTTCAAGCGTTCTAACGCTGAGCTACGTCTCTGGCGGGGTCTGGGTTTCCATTACAAAAAAATCACTGGACCTGGCAGAAGAGCCGCCCAGCAGGGGCTCCTCAAAGGGTGCGCCCGAAGATCGGATCCGTGAGCGCGGGGTGGGCGGTGCGAGGCGGGTTCAGGCACGGATTTCTGCCCCGCACACGCGGTCTAGACACGCCGCGCAAAGCTCAGGTGAAAGAATTTAAGTGACCCACAGAGCGCGCGCAGGAGCGGCGCGCGGGAAGGCCTCCGGTCCCTCCAGCCCCGCCTCAAGCCCGCGGCCCCAGGCCGGCTCCCCTAAGGGTTCCTGCGGAGCCCTGAAGGCGAGCCAGGAGCCGCCAGTCACAAACTGCGCACCCGCCGCCACCTACCGGACAGACGCCGCCAACCAGACACCAACTCCACCGCCCTCTCAGAGCCATCGTCTCACTTCCGGTCCGCGCGCCGCACTTCCGGTCACGTGCAAAAGCGGTCACGTGCCGTTAAATCACGTGGAGGTGGGTCACGTGATCCGCGTCCAGCGGAGATTGCGACAGGACAGGCCCTTGGTCCCGGGGCTTGTTGGTCCTTGACTGCTGCGGGAGTGGAGACTGGAGCGGCTGAGCGAGGCGGAATGGTGAGGGCGGCGGAGCAGGCCAGACCAGGAGAAAGGGACCGCCGGCCACCGCCCCCGCCGGATTCAGCCTTTTCTCGTCCTTCTCGCTGTAGATGAACCAGGCGACTGCCGACCCGGAGCGGGCGCCAGCGCCCGAAGCTGTATGGGAGCGGCCGTGGTCGGTAGAGGAGATCCGCAGGAGCAGCCAGAGCTGGTCGCTGGCGGCCGACGCGGGCGTGAGAGGCGGGCCCTGCACGCGAGGGAGGGCGGGAGCCCGCGTGCCCTATCCCAGGCACCGGGAGGAGGGTGGCCGCGGGCCTCTGTCCCCAGGTACTAGATCTCCGCCAGGGAACGGACCTGTTAGGTGACCTTGCGGGTCTCCGGCTCCATCCCAATAAGTACACGCCTTGCTGCCAAGCTGAGGACGCTATCGCTGTCTTGTAGGCGATTGTGTTGGGAGCTGGACCGACTGTAGTGATCCAGCTACGGGAGACGGGACAAAGTGTGTCCATCCCTTTTGGGGATTCTTAAAGCTTTCGCTCAGTGGCATAAGCGCCTGCCTTGCAAGCGCTCAGTCGCGAGTTCAATCCCCGGTACCAAAAAAAAAAAAAAAAGCTTAGGGCCCAGAAAGCCCGGCACTGTGATTCCCGAGTCCTGTAGGAATAAGTCTCACCACCAAACAGGATTTCAAAATTCTTAAGAAAGTAGGTAGCCTTTAAGTGCCTGAGCTTTCTTAATGTTTTTCAGAGTTTGTACCATAAGCATCCACCCTTTTACAACCCAACACATGAAGATGGAAGAATGTAGGCTCCCTTTTGACACACGTGTGGGTGTAACACTGATACTACTGTGTGTTTGTTTTAAAAAATAGCTGCTACAGTTTCTACAGGAATTTTCCCAGCAGACCATCTCTAGGACCCATGAAATCAAGAAACAAGTGGATGGACTGATTCGGGAGACTAAAGCCACAGATTGTCGCCTTCATAATGTCTTCAATGATTTCCTCATGCTCTCTAATACGCAGTTCATTGAGAATGTGAGTTTTTAGTTTACATCGTACTTAGCAGTAGTACTTTTGGGGCCAGTGAGAACTGATGTCATTCAAAATTCTTTCCTGAATCTTAGTATAGAGTTCTCGGTAGTCAATGCCTGTTCTTTATGTTTGGGCTTTGTTAAGCCTGTATAAGAAATCTAATGGTAACATTTTCTGGTATTCCAGTCTTTACCTTTTTAGTTTTGAAAGCAGTCAACTGTCGTGCTGAATCCTGTGGCACTGAAACTTGTTAAAGCATATTCTGTAAGGAAGGTTATCTCCTAAGGCTGTTTAATGTAAAATCATAAAAAAGATGTTCAAATTTGCAAAATTCTAAAAAACGCCTGATTTAGGATTAGAAAAGATACCATGAATGCCGTGTGGGAGGCATGTTTGTACATATTTTAGTGGCTCAGGTTGAAATGCCATTTCTACTTTTTTTGCGGGGAGGTATGTGTCAAGTAAGGATCTTAAGATCTTTGCTGGTTATTTTCTTCAGTGGCAAAGGCAAATCTGTGAGTTTGATATATAACATGTATTCAAGTAAAGTTGTTCTAGGTTGAGTATTCTTTATCTGGAACACAAGGAAGCAGATATGGGATTATTTGCATAGACTGTGCTGGTCCAGTATGTCTAGTCTAAAATGCCCTGGAATCTAAAACTTTTTGGGTCTCAGATCAGTGCTCAAAAGTTTTGGATTTTAGAATTTCAGGTTAAGGGCACTCAAACAGTGGTGAGATTTTTGTTTGTTTGGTTGGTTTTGATTTTTTGTACCGGGGATGGAAATCAGAACCTCAAACTTGCCATGCAGGTGCTTATGCTGCTGAGTTAAATCCTGGGCCTACCAGTGGTAGTTCTCTGGTCCTCTTCAGGATGACCATACTTGGTTCTGAACATTTGCCTTCCTGGAACAGTACTTAGGACCTTGATCTCTGGTTCCCTGGTGAATGCAGCCTGATCACAGAATTTGGTGTCCTTTTAAATATTCTTGTTGCAGGATCAAGTGTTCACCTCTACTCTGCAGTCAGTGAGTGTTGCACCTCTAGAGCTGGTGAGGAGTAGATTTTGGAGGTTTTCTTTTTTACACAGGTCACACTGAATTGGTATTAGATTTTTAATAGAAAGAAGAGGTGTGTCATAAACTTCATTTTCTAAATCACTCTCTTCAGCTTTTTATTTTCCTGCTTAAGATGTGTTTTCCATGGTCTAGGTTTTGTGGAGTTTGTTTTTGTTTTGCTTGGATAATAGTACTTTATTTCTGCGCCTTTATTCGAATTTCCTGTTTTCCACCCATCTCCTCATCTCCTTAATGTTAAATCCTAAGGCCCTTTCCCCTTCCATTCTGCAGCTAGATTGCTCTCAGAATGTGCTAGTGCCACTGTGAAGTTTAACTGCTTCCTAGCCTTCCTGTAGTGCCACCGTGGGGGTACAGAGCAGCCAGTGATGTTGATAGAGCAGCTAATGTTTGATGAGGCTGAGAGAAAACCTACCTCTGATAATACAAGAGGCAGTGACCTGACTGTTCGTGTGTTTTGGCCATGAAGTTGGGACACATGTATTGATTCAAGTTTTCACAATGGTGCGGTTTGGTTTCATGGTTGTTTGTGGAAAGAGTATTCCGAGTCAGGAGGGCTTCTGAGTTTCCTTAGCCTTAGAAGCAGTTGCAGAGTTGCAAACCATATTTGAGATTTAGTGAAACAGTCTGGACTTGCCAGGGCAAGAAAAACTAGCACCTTTGGTAAAAGCTCAAAAAGGGACGTGAAGAAGGAGAAATGCTAATTAGTGTTGGCAGCCTTTGCTGTCTAATTTAAATGACACAGTTCTTACAGCTTCATTATTTGTTAATTTAGGATTTTTATCTTGAAATGCTAATGCCATGTTAATGATTTAAGATAATTAAGAGAGATCACAAAGGATTTTAAAGTCATTTGTTTCAAAACCTTTAGCTTTGTAAAATTGAATTTTCTAAAATGAAACAATTTTCTAGATCATCTTCTGTTAATTTATAAAAGCTATTTTATGGTCATTCTTTTCTTTCCTTTTTTACTTTTCTCTTGAAGAAATAGATGCATTTGCCAAAAATTTTAAGGTGCTTCAACAATTTGGGGGACAGAGCTTAAGGTCTTAAGCTTCCATCCTCGTTCCCCCATCCAAAGCTAGAAGGAAAATTCAGTGTTTTGGAACGTGTCATCTTATGTCCATCTTCATGCAGATACTATGCTTAAAAAATTAGTCCACAGGAAAATCAGCCTAATTCCACCACCCCAAATTAACCATCCAGTAGGCTTTTGGTGGATTTTTTTCTAACCTCGATGATTGTTTATGTGTTTATAATCTGCATTTTCCTTAATTTGTGAGCCTTTCATAATCTTTAAAATCTTATGAACTTAATTTTTCTTGCTCCATTATATGAATGTATTATACCTTAAAGCAAAATAGAGAGTCACAAATCTGAAGAGTATGCAGCACCTAGCATTCCTTAACAGACTACTATTTTATCACACCTTTTTCAAAGGTACCAGCCCTCTTTCCCCCATATTTTTCCTTAACCATAGACGTTGGGGGTGAAGGCCCTCCTCTGCCAGAAGACTGTATCTGTGGATATGTGTAAGCACATGTATGTGTGAGCACATGTATGTGTAATACTAGGGATTTCATTTTTTCCATGTATGTAATCTATTGTGTAGCCATTCTTTTCCTCATTGACTGAGAAGCTTGAATGTCCGTGTGTATACATTCATGTTTGTGTGGATGTAAAGTCAGACCTGCATGTAACTGTCTTTCTGACCTCATCTCTTTATTATTTCTCTGCTGTATGCATCAGTATCTTAAATGTCACAGATTTCTAGTGTGTCTTCACAGGCCAAGTCCCTATAGCTTTTTTTATTCACAACTGTTGTTATTTATCTTTGGCTTTTGACTTTTCTGTGTGAATTTGAAGATTAACCTGCTATTTTGTTCTGAAGAAAATCTTGCTAGCATTTTATTGGAATTGCATAGAATGGAAGATTTGGTGTGTGTGACTTTTTCACTACAGAGTGATGTCACGAGCATTCATAGTAGGATTTTTGAGATGGAGTATACATTTAAAATGACATTGTTGGGTAGGACTGGCTGGTACTTTCATAAAAATGGATAGCTTCCACTACAGGCAAGGGCTTGGGACACAGGTGAATACACCGGTGATGGCAGCAAGTTGTGACACGTTTTTTCAGAGCAGTCTGGAAGTAGGTATTAAGATCAAAAAAGCTCTATGCTTCGATTTCATAATTGTCTTTTGAGAATGTTCCTTCCAGAAATAAAAACCTTCCTGGTTGAGGTGGGGTTGGAACAGCTTCATTTACAGTATTAAAAACTGAAAACATTTACCAGTGGGAGACTATTGAACTACTTAAAAGATTAAATGCCATTTATGTGTATTGACCTAGAAAGTAGTTTGTGAGAACACTTAAGTGAAAATTCAGGGCAGAGAGAGGTGTGCAATATGCATACATTTTTATTTAAAAGCAGGAGGGGTGGGAGAACTCTGAATTTTATATTCTGTACATATTGTGTAAGGGCCTTAGACAGCAGAAGCACGCACACCACACTTAAATTGCATTTCCTAAGGGTTAAAGTAGAACGGGGCCCACACATCTCCTACGTGTGTCTTTATACAGGTTGAACATCCTTAAGTGACCTTAACCCAAAAACCTGAAATTGAAAAAGGTTTCAGATTTTGAAGCATTTTGAATTTCATATTTTCAGATTAACAATGCTCAACTGGTAAAATCGATGGAAATACTCCAAAATCTGCTCAAGATTGAGTTAGTTCTGATGCAGAGTGTTTAGGTATGTGATACTCAGTGTGCAGTGATTTAAAATTTCCTAACTTGAGCAGTTATGCACATACCATATAACTTGCTCTTCTAAAAAGTATGTAGTTCAGTAGGTTTTGGAGTATTCACAACATGGTCTCTGTCTGGTTCCGGTGAAATTGGCTTTCTGCTTTCATGAGAATGAAATACATAATTTATCAGCCATATTGAACAACAGGATAAAAATAAATTTTACTTTTACTTTTCCATTGTTCCGTGCTAGAGTCTTGTGACCTTCTTGAGAAGTTGCAGCAGGTGACATCCTCTGTAGTCCTGGGGAAGAATACCTGTCCCTTTGTCCTGCGTCATATGTATTAGATTAAATATGAGTGTGAAAACTGGTATCTTCCTGCTTTTACAACTCGGACCAACCGTGGGGCTGAATACTTTCGTGTCTCCTAGTCACTTGTATCTTTTGCATGTTTTTTCTTTCAGTCATGAGCTGACTTCTGTCCCTTGCTGATTGTCCATGGCCTACTTTCAGGTCCTCAGCTGTTTGCTGACTAACCACTTCCTTCTGCATCTTGCTGCTTTGTGACTGAGTATTGGATTCATGCATTGTGGTTTACTTTGGATGCCACTTTGACCTTTGAACCTGAACTTGCTTTCCCTTTTAGCGTGTGTATGATGAAGAAGTGGAGGAGCCGGTGCTCAAGGTGGAGGCCGAGAAGACAGAGCAGGTATTGGCTCAGTCCCTCTTTGCCTAAGTTCTTGACTTAGAGAAGAGCAGCGACTGAGACTTGTAACGTGTCTAATGGGAGTGGCGACAGAGGATGGACACCAGGGAAAGGGGGTGACTGTGCCTCACAGCAGCTCAGTTGAACTTCATTCTTCCTGAAAGTTAGCACACTGAGTAACAGGAAGATTGAATTCTTGAATTCTGGCGTAAGAATGGAGAGCAGTCTGCAGCCTTTCCCCATAAAGGGCCAGGTAGTAAATACTGTAAAGTTCATAAGCTGTGCAACCTGCTGTGGCTTCCTTGTTCTCCTCTTCTGCCTCTCCTTGCTTCCTTCCTGCTTGTCTCTTCTCATCCCGTCTTCCTTCTCCCCTTTTTTTTCTCCTCTTCTCCTCTTTCAACCCTTTAAAAATGTAGCAGCCATTCTTCACCCCTACTAAAACAGATACTAGATCAGGGCTGTAGCTTGCCGACTTCTGAAATAGAACGTTATGTAGGTGAATCGTTTAAACCGAATTTCTCTGTTCCTTTCACAGTCACTTCAACTCTTCCTCCTGTCACATCAGAGTGACAGGAAAGTGAATGCATCTGACTTAGTGTGTGAATCTTACCACCTGCTTTGTGCCACTGGGTGCATGAGTGCAGAAGTGTAGACTGTACAGGGAGCAGTTACTGACTCTGGTGACGCTGCAGGGGCTAGTGACGTAGGACACTTTGCTCTCCTTGTACTTTGGGATAGGGTTTTCCTGACTTGCCCAGGCTGGCCTTGAACTTGTCATCTTCCTGCCTCAGTCTCCCAAGTATGTTGGATTACAGGCATGTGCCAGCAACACAGTCTGTCAGTTTTTTAATTGAGACTTGTTTATAGTGTGAGACTATACCTTACAGACTATTGTTGTGGTATCAGTATGATGACATTCACACTGAGTGCTTTTTTGTTTGCAGGAAAAGACGCGAGAACAAAAAGAGGTAGATCTGATTCCTAAAGTCCAGGAAGCTGTAAACTATGGTTTGCAAGTACTGGACAGTGCATTCGAGCAATTGGACATCAAAGCAGGGAACTCGGACTCTGAAGAAGATGATGTTAACGAGCGGGTGGAGCTGATACTTGAACCTAAGGTTAGTGCATTCGATTCAGGCATTTCCTGGTGTGTTACAGTTCCTGTTATATCTTGGTCACAGAGTTGATAAGGGTCTGACTTCACCTCTAGAAAGTGCATGTGTCACTTAGCAGTCCCATGGTGACCCTGTAGGAAGACACGTGCACTGGGGAAGCATTTGCGCACAGGAGCATGCCAGGCTGGGGACACAGAGGTGCGGGGCCTGGTGGGAGGGAGGAGGCATTTGTACAGTAACCATCACGAGTGCTCAGAGGATCGACTTCTTACTGGGACATAGGGCAAAGACAAGATCTCCGACTGGGGTGGGATTTGTTTTAAACCTCAGAAGTTTTTTAAAAATGTGTGTGTGTTTAACTTGTACAGCATGTTTTGAAATACATAAGTGTCATGGAGTATCTCCACAGACTGACCTAGGGATGCTTGACGTAGTTACTTTTGTGGTGATTTTCAAGAGTAAAATCTACTCTTGGTCTTACTCCCCCTGTCTAATTGAAATTGGGTCCTCTCTGCCCAACAACTCCCTACCCTCCCACTCCTCTAGTTTGAGTTGGGGTGAGAAGGATGGGGAGGCTCATGAAAGGTGTAGAGAGTATTGGGAACCTGGGATTCCGAGCTTGTACCAAGGAAGGCTGCAGAGGGTTGAAAGGTACTCGGGTCATTCCCAGTAGCTAGGCCCAGGAAAGTTACTGTGGGCTTTCCTGTGTAGGCTTCCTGCTCGCCTCTCAGAATGTGCATGCTGTGTATGCCTTGTGAGATTGTCAAAGGAGACTGTGGGCAACACACGATCAGTCAGTCAACAGAGATTGCCGCATTAAGTTTTGAGAGAGTTCACATGATACCAAGTGCTGTTTGGATTAGAACATGAAACCCAACTCTTCTAGTTTCTCATTTAGCTGCGTAGTTCTCCCAGCTTGAACTCCACAGTCATACCACGTTGGCATGGACTCTTAGCACTGGCGTGTGTTTTCCCTCTGTGTTTAGAGGTTTGCAGCAGGCCCCAGGACATTTACTACGTGAGGCATCAGAATTGTTGTCTCCCGTCCCCGCGATGTTAAGAGAGGGACAGGTCAGCCTACTCCTGCAGTGGAGGTAGATGATGGTCCTGGAGCAGCAGGGTCCGTGGTGACAGTGGCACTTTCTTGACTGCACCTTTAATTGGTGTGTGGTGGTGGAAGAGTGAGATGGAAGGCTGCAGTACACGCCACTGCGCGCACCTCTTCTCCACCCATTCTGGGCCTTCGTCACTTACAGTTCGCTTTTCCCGATCTGCAGTGCTAAGCTCTTGTGGAAGGGGGATAGTGTTGGCTTCATGGGCTGTTTTCTCTTTGGAGTCCTGAGCATTTCGTTTGCCCCTCGTTTGGGCCACTATTCCAGCCTGCTCTACTCTGCCACAGCATGAAGAGACCCTTCCCCGGGTTTCTGGTTTGTCCTGTCCCTCTGCCACTCCTGCCTGTGTAGGCCCACCTGCTATCTCACTGCTACCAGCACTTGGGGCCGGTGCTTTGGTGTGATTTTCCACATGTAGGGCTGGTATTGATGACCTCGTCGTAAATATTTCTATGTGTAAAAGCAGGATAAAGGAGTACCTGTGAGCCAAACATACATATTTCTAGCACATAAATATACATGTTAAAGTTTTTGTATTGTATTTAAAGATATTTTAACATTGCTCATACGTATGTCTCTGTATATATGTATGTATTATGTTAAGGCATGTAGATATGGATGTGTATTTACAGTGAGAGACATATATATACCTGGGTCTGGGGCGCCTCACAATTTTAGAAGAGTGAGCAAGGGCGGGATTTCCCAGAACTCTCCGCTTCTTTCCTTAGTTCCTTCTCCTTGGGAATGTTTTGCTGCAAGGTTGTTCCCCTTCCCTGTTTGCTGGTAAGTTTTTTTTATAGCCTTTTGCCATTTTGTTAACAAGGTACTTGGTAGGATTCAGCTTTACCTTGCTACCTTTATCTAGGATTTGCTGTTTTTTAAATCAGAGATTTTTAGAATGCTGATCCTTCATTTTACCCTCAATCCTTCTATTTCTTACTGTCCACTTTCACTGTGTAGCTTGTTTGAGGCAGTCAGACAAAACAAGTGTCAAGCAGGATATGTGGTTTCCTTTTTTGACCAAAGCATTAATGGCTGTTCACTTTTGTTCTTTATAGGACCTGTACATCGACCGCCCCTTGCCCTACCTCATTGGCTCCAAGCTTTTCATGGAGCAGGAAGACGTAGGCCTTGGAGAACTCTCTAGCGAAGGTGCTTGTCTTAATTACTTTCTGATCCCTGGGACACAATACCTGACTCCCATAACTGTAAGGAGGAGAGGTTTATCTTGGCTCTGGGTGTGTAGAGGTTGCAGTCCATACTGGGCTGGCTTCAAGGCAGGCAGAGCAGCACAGCAGGGGAGGGTTACTCAAGACCTGTCATTGGGAAGCAGGGAGCGATGGAGGGAAGAGGGAGGGGAAGGAGATGGCCCTTCCAGGCCAGGCCCACAGTGATCACCTTGTCTGCCAGGCTTCACCTCCCATCATCACATTTATAGCTGTAAAAGCAGCATATGCTAATCCACTGGTGAGTATCATGCACCTATGGTCCAGTCACCTCCCAGAGCCCCACTGCACCTCCCAGAATGCGTGAAACTTTATAGGGACATCTAGATAAAAACCATAACAGTGCTTATCTTCAGCAAATATTCTTGTTGTTACTTTTCAACATTTAGAAAATAGTTTCAAACTTTACATTAACCTTGCAGAAATAGTTCAGAGAACTCACGTGTCCTTCACCCTGGTTTGCAAGTTAACATTTGACTACTTACACTTCGTTATTCTCTGTATGTATGCACATAATGTTTTTTCACAGCTATTTTATGCAGCATGCCCCAGTACTCCTGAATAGTTCACTGTCTATTTTCCAAGAACAGCGGTATTCTCTTACACAGTGCAGACAGAGTATAATGATCCAAACCAGGAAATCTTACTGGACATAGTATCATAACGCTGTTCTCTCATCTGTCATCATTGTTGAGTTTTGCCACTTGTCTTCATGATGCCCTGTCTTGTCTCTCCTTCCTGTGGTGCAGGACTCAAGCCAGGACCTGGAAGAGCATTTAGTTGTTGAATGTCTCTGTCATCTTTCAGTTGACACAATTTCTCATCTTTCCTTGGCCTTTACATCTTTGAAGAGTACAGGCCAGGTTTTTGGTTTTCCTTTGTAATAAATAATTCTTTAGTCATAGGAGGAGATGCTATTATAAGACTATGTACATATCTGGTCCCTCAGTGTAATGATACTTTTAATTCCCATAAGTGGATCCATATGGCTTTATCAGAGTGTCTGTGATTGTGTTGTGCGGTGTTGTGTGACTTCAGAGGAACTCAGAATATTCTCTGGTGGATGTTGGGGCTCAGTCTTGTCCTCTTCTCACAGAAGGCTCCGTGGGCAGTGATCGGGGCAGCATTGTGGACAGTGAGGAAGAGAAGGAGGAAGAGGTAAGGATTTCGGTCTGACCAAGTCATGGTGAGGGTGAGCAGGAAGTATAAGTGTTCAGCAGGTGAAGTCCATATTTATGAGTTAGCTGTCTGATTGCATAAAAACGTTTAATAGTGATGGAAGCCACAATCTGAAGCTTTGTCCTTGGGGTGAGATTTCCTCTTTGTCTTGTATGTAGAAACAAAACTGATCCAGTGTCCTTTAGGCTTAGCTTCGTCTCATTTCACCACTGAGTCCCTCTTCTTCTCAGCGTAGTTAAGGGTGGCTTAGATCTCTGCCCATAATCATAATCTGTGAGTATTTTCTGTCTCCCAGTGGTTCCAGGGTAAAAAGTCTGCATCTAACACATTTTTACCTTAAAACTAGACCAGAAGACACGCAAGCCATCACTGCCACTTTGGCATGTTCATTTCCACAGAGTGTAATCTGGCTGCTCAGCCCTCCAAGGGGGCATTTCAAAGCGAGAGACACCATGAAGAGTGGCCCTTGAGAATTACAGTTTGGGAAGGAGATGGATCTGTGTGTATGCCCCTCTCATCCTTCTGTCTACGCTGCCCTCTGCTGCCTGCCTTCCTGCAGCTCCCAAGCAGAAATCTTAAATAGGATATGAACTTTCCTTTGGTAACCATGCCAAACCCAGGCACTCACTGCCTCTCCTGTTTCTGTCCATGTCACTCTTCACCAAATTGCCAGTACACAACACTAGCATTCCCTTGGGTTTGATGAAGCAGCTATCCTACGTAGAGGAAGTACAAAGAGTAATGTGCAGTACATGGAATAATACCACCAACTTGCCAGGTGTTGTAGCACGTGCCTGTAAAAGCTGCCCTTTGGAGCAGCTATGCACATACAGCAGTGACTCAAGCCCCCAGCAGTGATGGACGCTGTAACCGAATGGTTGCGATGAGGTCAAGGTTAGTTGGGTGGGGATACATAGTGAGTTCAAGACTAGACTACATAGTGAGATCCTGTCTCAAAAAAAAAGAAAAGAAGAAAACCTGACATAATTAAATGTCTTAACTCTTACTTTGAATTCAGAACTCAATCAAAAGTGCAACAGTCATGAAAAAATTGCTAGAAATGTTAAGGTGGACCACAAAGGTCACGTGCCAGCTGTGACAGCCCTTGCGCCTGCTGTCCACCTTGTCTGCACCTCTGTTCTTGCGGTGCCCTGTGCTCAGTGCCACACACTGTGTATCATCAGAGTTCTTCCTCTGGGTGACAGCATGAACTTGCCCAGGGATTCAGACCAGAAGTCATCTCTGCCCCTGAGCAGAGCCTATGCTGACTGATCCCTCTTCCCCCCTTAGGAGTCAGATGAGGATTTTGCCAATCAGAGTGACAACGATCAAAACAAGGTGAGGCCTTTGTGCTGAAGGGACTGTGTGTTTTGAAGTTTTAATTGAGGCACAGTATTCATACTAAAATCACTTTTGAATGACTTATGTTAAAATAAGGATTTTCTTACGTTTGTAACTAATTTTCCCTTGGAAAAATCACACATTTAAGACTACCCTGTTTGTTTGGGGATTTTTTCCAATTTTACTTTGTATTTTATCATTTTTTTCAAAAAAAAAAAAAAAAAAAGTGGGGGGGGGGGTGGAATCAGCTGTAAAAGAAGCCCAGTTACCCAGACTGGACTATTTCATATGAATCCTCTCCTGCTTGACCATGTGAGATCGTGTAGAGCTCGCGGTGTGGCTCAGCCATTGAGCACTTGCCTGGCCTGTGGGCGTCCTGGATTCTTTCCCCAGTGCCATGAAAGGGAAAAGACTGAGACTATAGAGAAAAACCTCTGCTGTCTTATCAGCCTGCTTTTAATTGGTGTAAATCCATAAAGGTGTAGGGGTGGGGCAGGCAGGTGTCCTGCTGGGTTTGTCACTCTGCTTTCTCTTGGTCTGCCTCTGTGACTCCCCCTGTTGCAGCGTAGTCCTTTTAACTGTTACTCCATGTTTATATTGAAATCAGACTGTGTTTGCCTGTATCTCTGCACTGAGGAACATGCCATGCATGTCAGGATTTTGCTTTTGTATTCTCACTGTTGCATTCTTACTTGAGAGTAAATGCCTTGTTTGGATTCTGATAAGTCTTGTGCCTTACCCTCAGAGATCCTGCTTCAACATCTGTTGCCTTCTTCCCATCATTATTATTTTTAAATGCTTGTTACCTTTTTGAAGAAGGCCCCTAAGACCTTCTCAGCTTGCTGCCTTGCACCTCATAGTTCTAACCTGGCGTTTCGTCCTCTTAGCACACCGTACAGATAAGTGATGAGGAAGAGGATGACGATGCTGACCTCTTCGCTGACTCTGAGAAGGAAGAAGATATTGAGGACATTGAAGGAAATACTAAGCCAGTAAGAGAGCATAGTTGTTGTCACTCTGTAAGGTCAAGACTCATTCCCTGTCTTGTCCCTTGACTGTGTAGCTGTCTTGTTTGTACAAGTATTTATAAGCTCACGCTCCAGAAACAATGGCTAGCACACTCACTTGTCCTATATGTGCCACTTTCTTCTCCCAGTGTTAGGATTTTATAGATCAGGTCATTCAGAATATACTCAGATCCAGAGTTTTAGGACCTCTTGTCCCCCACCCCAATACCTTAGTCTGGTTTTCTCACTGGAATTTTCTCGTTTAAATCTTTCCCTAGATTAAAGTGAATTACAAGGGGCCCCCTAAATTCACTGGGGTTACATTCCCAGTGAAAACCTCAGATTTCAGATACAGTCAGAAAAATGCCTATAAATACCTGATGTTATAGTTTAAACCCTAACTATGCTGCATCTGCCACAATTATGTAACTTAATTTATTAAAATACTGTATTGCTAAAGCCTTTAGAAGGCCACGCATGGTGGCCCATTCCTGTAATCATAGCACTTGGGAGGCTGAAATAGGAGAATCACCATGAGTTCAAGGCCAGCCTGGGCTACACAGTATGTTAAGGACTAGCCTGAACTGTGTAGCAAGTTCTGTTTCAAAAAAAAAAACAAAAAAATAAAGCCTTAAAAAGTACAGGGCATTTCGGCAGCGTCTTAAGGATCTTTGAACTTTAAAAAAACTAAAACTGAGAACACTCAAGATAGCTATGTGAGGTATAGCAAGCTGTCATGATTCGGGAAAGCTGGTGCATCAGTGGAGGATGGGTGACAGAACAGCAGCCAGTCAGCAGCAAGAACTGGGTGACACTCCTGGACTGGCTACTTGCAAACCTGCCAAAAGAAAAAACAGTTGCGGAGCATATTTGCGGTTTCCATGAACAATAGTTAGAACCTAACTAGGTTTTAAAGGGAATAATCCATGCATGACTGAGGTTGCAGGCTCTGAACTGCAGCTTCACACAGGTCTACCGTATTGGAAGGAAAGATCCTTTTGAACGAACGTTTTATAAGTCGTGTCTCTCAGGCAATCTCTCTCAGATATATATATTCAATTTCATTTCATCAAATCCTGTGTTCTCAGCTCAGTTTCTTTGCTCCTGGTAGTGTAGGTTTTTTAGATATCCAAAAGTAAGTAAAGCTCATTTCTCTATTAAAAAGTGATTTTTCTGGTCTCTTGTGCCTGCAGAAAAGACCCACATCGTTTGCTGATGAGTTGGCAGCTCGGATCAGAGGGGACTCCAGCCGCCTGGGAGAGGATCAGGCAGGTGAGCCAGCTGGGAGAAGGTGACAGGTTGTCATTGTGGAGCAGGAGCCTCTGCTGGCCCCACCACCAAGTCAAGGTTCTGCTTCACAGTCCTAAGGCCCAGAAGTATAGGCACTGTGATACCAGGAGAAGTGTACATGGCCACATCATGTGACATTCCCCGCCAGTTCCAAGGGCCTTCTACCTCAAAGAACCATGGACACCAAGATAAGGGTCTGTGGCTTTGTATTTACTCCCATCTTTAAAAACTGCACCATGCAACATATTCTGGTTATTTGACAGCTTAGATGTCAGAGTAAACCTTTGAGCAGATTGAGTGCTGTGTGCTCCTGACCCAGGCATGTGGGCAGTGGCCTTCTGCCTCCTGGGGGACACTCTAGTGCCTCCTCTGAACCTGGCCTGAGCTAAGCACTCTGATGAGGCGAGATGCAAAGGTGAACATCCCACCTGAATCATGAGGACGACAGACACAGAGACACACATAGCAGGCTAAGTCGCAGGGAATGTGAACTATCCCATCCTTATCCTTAGGAGATTGCAAACCTCGGAAGACACTGAAAGAGAAGAAGGAAAGAACGCCTTCAGACGGTAGGCCTTCTTCAGGTCCGTCCTTTTAGGAGCCTTTGACTCAGAAATGTTGTTCACTTCGTTTATAAAGTGTGGCTTTAAACACTGACATGTGGGCTCCATCCAGGGCTGCACAGCAAGTTCAGGGTCAACCTGCTCTACGCGGCAGGACCCTGCCTCTTAACAAACTATAAACAAAACAGTAACAAAAATTCACTCTTTCTGCTCCAAACATTTACTGACTTGAAAGTCTAAGTCTCTCGAGCCTTGTGCGTGCCCCAGTGGGCTTCGAGTGAGTTTCTGTTAGGATTCATCTGCTGCCCTCAGCCCCTCCCTGTCACCAGAGGCCAGGTGCCTCCACCCCTTCTGTGGACACTGTAGAGGCCTACACCAGGATGGTGGGTTACACACCCACCCTACCTCTCCCTGCACCTCACCTTCTGCTTGCCAGATGAAGAAGATAACTTATTCGCCCCTCCCAAGCTGACAGATGAAGATTTCTCACCGTTTGGATCTCGGGGCGGCCTGTTCAGCGGTGGGCAGGGCCTCTTCGATGACGACGATGAGGAGGTGAGTGGCTGTGTTAGGGTCATAGCGGGGAACTGCCTCTGCTTTCAGCAAGAGGTGGTTTTCCCTGGGAGTCACTTCAGTGTTAGGGCTAAGCAGGTGTCGGACTCACGGGCTGTCTGCTGGGGTTGTTCAGCGCAGAGAGGATGGGTTAGCAGTGGACGATTTGCTTGCCTTGGAGATTGTTTCTTGCCTTACTTTTTCCATCTTTGCGCTTCATTCCTGGCCTTTCCAAGTTACTTACACATCTGTCTCCGTAGCCCTCACATTGCAGCTGATTTTCTGGCCGAATAAGGAGTGTGAAGCTTCAAGTTTTTTATAGGGTCCTGGAGACCCTGCAGTGGGGGTGCATTTGCCCTCCCGTGTTCATTTCTCTCTGTCCTTGTTTTATCCAGAGTGACCTCTTCAGGGAGCCACCCCGGGATCGGCACACCCCAGCCCCCATCAATGAAAGTAAGGTCCCTTTCTCCGTGTGAGAATCTAAAACCCCATTCAGCTTCCCTCCCGTTAGGAGGTGGGAGCCTCAAGTAGTTTCCAAGCTGAAAACAGTTTGTCTTCCTCTGTTAGCACCTGAAATGTCTTACGAGGACCTCGGGGTCATTCGGGCTCACAGCTGCAGGGCCTGTCAGCTGTGCACGTTTGGCACCCTTGCCTCATGCCTTTCCTTGCACAGCCTCCTGGGAGGGAGTGCAGTGGGTGATGCTGCTCACCTTCTGGCAGCCAGGAAGCACAAGAGGGGAAGGTCAGATCCCAGTGAGCCCTCAAAGGTGCCCCCAGTGGCCTGACTTCTCTGGAAGCAGTGGAGGTGAACCTGTGGCATATGTGCCACAGCCAGCTGCTTATTACCATTGAAAGCTCTGAAAGGTTCCCTGTCACGGTCCTAAAGGGTCTGGCACCTAGCAGTGGTGACACAGGTTAGTGACAGAGCCTTCAACACATGGACCTGGGGGAGTGTTCCAGAGACACACCACAGCATTTCACTCATTTGACTCTTGGTAAAAACGGTACCACCTGTAAACTCCTTTTAAGAACTCATAAAAAATCAGGACAAGTGTAGCGATGTGGAAAGTATTTTTGATAAAGCCTAATAAAAAAATGTCTCCTAACATTCTGCATCTCGGTTTGCCAGTCTGGTGTGTGTTAGCATCTTCTTTGGAGTTTTTTAAGAGCACAGAGTTTTGTTTTGTTTTGCTGTTTTCACTCTGCACCTCTCAGCTCTTTAGGACTGATTGATTCCTCTGGGCTGCACATCCCAGGGTCCAGCTGCCCTCCCAGTGGCATGCTGTCTTCCAGTTTTGCTCTCCATTTTGATGTCAGTGACTTGTCGTGTTTCAGTGCTTGATTTTATGTTCATCACTTTTTTCACTGATACTGCACGGTTTTTTTCTGTTTCTCTTTACTTGTTCATGTCATCGAGCTGGACCTGACAGAGTTACAAGCTATTTTGCAGAACCTGGTTGCCAAGCCCATCTCCCCAGCTACCCCACTGCTGCTTGGCTTCTGTCAGTACTCCTCACTTTCCATAGAGTCACTGCTTAGACTTAGTCCCAAAGAACTCCTGACACCACCAGAGAGAAAAATCTCAGGGATTTTTTTTTTTTTTTTTTTTTTTTTTGGTATTTTTCGTTTTTATCGGTACCAGGGATCGAACTCAGGACTGCCTGCTTGCAAGGCAGGGGCTTATGCCGCTAAGCTAAATCCCCAGCCCCAATCTCAGGGATTTTTAACAGCTTATTTAGCAAAATCAGTTCTGAGAAGTCCCCTGCTAGGTATGTGTTGTGTTGCACATACTTTAGGAAGGGGTGGGGGTTATAAGGAATTTTGGTTTCTTTGGGAATTGATTGACTCTTTCTTTGTCACTCTAGAGTCCTCCTCCAAACCTGTAAAGAAAATCACAGCAGGAGCAGTTTCAGTATTTTTAGGTAACATGGTATTTGTTCCTTACAAACCATAGGAATCCTGTTTCATGATGGTTCTGTCATCTGAGGACTGGCTGGAGAGGAGGCCTCATTAGAGGCTGTGGAGCAGTTTGCAGAGGCCCTCAGTTACTGATGCCAGTGCAGGTCCTCCTAGAGGTCCATGGCCTAAGGCCGCGCTGTTGCTCAGTCAAGGCGAAGAGAGCACTTGCCTTGCATGCACAGGGCACTGGCTTCCACTCCCAGCACTGCAAAATAATTTTTAAAAAGAAATGGGTGGCGTGGACTTCTTTGTGTTTGAGTGACCGTATGTTCCTGCATCATGGGTCATTCACTAGCAGCAGCACATGACATCATGTGACCCATTCTTGTGTTTGTGGGTGAACTAAAAGTAGTAATCTCTCTCAGTGAGTGGGTGGTGCTGTTTCTTAAGTCCGGAGGCCACCTGCCCTGGCTCACAGCTGTGGCTGTCTTGTTTGTCTCAGAAGACAGTGACGTGTTTGGGGCCCCGACCACTCCAGTACTGAAGGAGCCCCAGAAGCCCGAGCAGCCCGATGCAGGGAAGAGCTCACATGTCCCTGCTGCTTCTGGCCTCTTCGATGATGATGACAATGATGACTTTTTCACAGCATCCTCCAACAAACCTTCCAAGACAGGTATGTACCCTAGCTCCTGGTTCTGGGGATTTGGTTGGAGAAAGCTGTGGTCCCAACACGGATGCCACTCCCCTGGCTTCTGTATGTGAATCCCAGCTCATCCTTTCCTATCTTTGTCTCCCTGTGCTTAATGGTGCTTGGCCTCAGAGGTTGCTGTGGAGTGGGCCATCTTTTCTGGAAGCCGCATAAGGTTATCTCCCTTATAGAGAGAGAGCTGAAGTCTTCTGCCCTATACCTTCTGCTCAGAATCTCTAGTTCTAGCCTTAGACACGCTGCCTTCCAGCAGCCTGCTGTAGTGCCTTGCATGGGCAGGAAGCCGTGTGCTGGCCATTTAGTTCCCAGCTTCACTTCTCTGTGCAGAAGAGCCAAGTGTCTGGGTGTAATGAACTTTCGGCCCTCTCCAGGTGGCCCTCTCCTTTTTGCTTCCTCAGGTTTAGGTCATCGCGCTGGTGAAGTCTTCACCTCATCTGTTCTTCAGATACAAGTGCATCTGGTGCTGCTGTCAGGAGGAGGATTGTGATCAGGTGCACCTGGGTGGAGCCCAGGTCTGCATGGTTAGCAGCAAGAGCAGTTTGCTGCTCTGTGGGCCACAAATGAAGAAGCAAGACTTAGATTCAGTGGGGACTTTTCCAGAAAAGGAGAGCAGATGAGCTTCCAGCATGCAAACATAGGAAATATCGAAGGTGACCTAAGGCAGAGAAGGAGCTGGAGTCATTAAGAGGCAGGCTATGTGCACTGGCCCCCCCTTCCCAGGTCAAGAGTGGAAAATCGGGAAGTCAGTGTCATCCTTACGTTAGAGGGCAGGAAGACACTCTGTAGGCCAACCTGGCAGCAGGTGAAGAAATGAAGGCTGGAGGACCCCAAAGGATCTTGAGTCACTGTCCTTGAGAAATGTTTGGAGATGATGCATAAGTCGGTGCTGCTTTCTTTAAAGTGTCTTGGGACACTCATGAAGAACTACCGTTCTTCCACTGACTCGTGCTTCATGAAGGGCGGCTGTGCTTGTGACGGTGAAAAGCTGGAGTCACCCAGCCGTTCAGCAGCAGCGTGATAGTGGAGTTCTGTGGAACTGTGAAAAGAACGAAGTCTATATGGCTTGACTTAGGAAGATGTTTAGGTGCATGTAGTGGAAAACACAGCTGGTAGGATACACCATGCAGATTGTCTTGCCATCATAGCCCTATATGTGAATAACTAGATTGAGCACCACCTTTTAAGGGATATAGAAGTTTGTATGCCCAGCTCTTCACAAAGTCTGTCTGGTCTTAGTGGCAGGTAGCATTCTGGGAAATTGTAGTATTTCCCTTTATCTCTTTCTATAGTTCTACTTTTTAAAGCAGGGGCCATCTTCACATCTTTGATTCCTAGAATTGTGGAGTGGTGGCCCTGATGTTTTTTTACACCTCTATGGGTACCTGTTCAGTCACCTGTTAAGTTGCTCCAAGCATAGGGTGGTGCCCTTGGATAAGTGTGTCAGCCAGAGGGTAAAAGTATCCTGTGTCTTGCAAGCTGTTGCTTTCTTTGAAAGGCAGTTAGGGACTGGAGGTAAGTTATAGCTCAGTGGGGAAGCACTTGCCTTGAATGCATGAGGTCACAGGTTTGACCTTCAACAAAGAAAAACACCAAGGTGGTTGCACTTTCCTACTTCTTTATAACTAATCAAGAAATCCCATGCCTTTTCCTTTCATCCTTTGGGAGATAAAAATGTTTTAATCTGCGAGTCTTGTAATAAGACTTTGATCTCATCTTGTGGTATCTTTTTAAAGACAAAGCCAAATCTACAGCCAGCATCTTTGATGATGAAGAAGGTGATTTGTTTAAAGAAAAAGCGGCTGTGCCTGAAGCAACCATGAAACAGACGAATGAAAACAAAGCAAGGGCAGAGCAGCCGGTGAGTGCAGGGCAGGAAGGGGTGCAGCTCCTGGCCAGGTCCTCTGGAACTAGGAAAGTAGTGTCCCCTTGTGTTTATATTGAAGTGCCTTAAATATGACGGTGAAAGAAGAACCCAGTGTACTTCAAGTAACTACCACTCAGAATCAGCAGTCGTTCAGATTTTGCCAAACATTTTACATATCCAAACCTGTCTGCATGTGTTTTTGCAGGGAAGATGTACTCATGGTGACATGTTACCCCCAAATAGTAAACATGTCATGAACAAAAACTGCTGTGTAACCAGGCACCTTTATCAGTAGCTGTGAGATTACCAGTAATTCTCCAGTGGGATCCAACTTTCACAGCCCTCTAATTAGCCCTGAAATGTGTTAGAAAGTCACAGCCAACAGCCAACATAGTAATTAACACTGCTTTGAAATTATTTCATACACAGTCTGTGTGCTGATCGTTTTCTCTTGTCCTCAGTAGCTTTTGTGTTTCTTTGTTTCATTTTGAAAAAACCTAGGATCTGGGCAGTGTTTCTCAGTTGCATTTGCTAGTCCTGTTTCTTTGATGGCTTTTAATCTGAAGCAGTGCCTCCCTGGTTCGTATTTTAGTTTCTGCAGCCAGCCAGTTGTCTTTAGAGTGTTTGAATTTCATAGGGGCGAATCATCATGGGAAGAATTTAAAATTGGCCATGAATTTACCTCATTGTTTTCCTACAATGAGGTTTATGCTAACTGTTCTTGGCAAGAATACAGGCAGGCACTGCGTCACCTGTGCTGACACCCGTGCCACCATGCCCCACTCTCCACTCTTGCGGCAGTGTGGTCTCCCTCAAAGGCACTCACTCTCTCTGTCATTAACAAGTTGATCTGTTGATCTGTGACACTGTGATTGTCTTACTCTGTACCAGCTTTGAGCTTTGTGGTTTTAATATCCATTGATAACTTTTTCTGGATCAGTTACCATGGGAGGGGTGTGAAAAGTCCCCTTTTAAGTCTGTTTTCTCTACACTTACTAGCAAGACTTTCCAGCTGACATTCTTGTGAATAGAAGAGCTTTCTCTCCTCCTTGCCCCAGTTTTCAGTACTGTCATGGGAACATTGATTCTTTAGCCAGTGTACTATTCTGTTGATGGGCACATTGATCTGTGCCTGGCAAGTTGCCTGTGTCTCTGTCAGTCCTAAGCTCTTCAGGCTGCTGCTATTTCCCCTGCTGTCTGCATTGGTTGCTTTCTCTTTTTTTTAACCATGTCCCATTGTGTCACATGCTTGCCAGAAACCGGACTTCCTCCAGGCGCCACCATCCAGCACCCAGAAGTCATGGGCAGCCTGTGCAGACAGTTCTTAAGGTGCAACCGCACATATCCTGTGTGCACACTGTGTGACCATGGGCGGTCTGCCCTGCACCCCTTTTCCCCAGTCATACCCTCCGTGTCATCTTGCTTTTCCCTCGCTGCACAGTTCCCTCGGCCTGGAAGGCACTTCACCCTGGGCCCAGGCCTTGTCCGTTCTGAGATACTGTTTCAGGGAACTTCCTTCACGCTTGCCTAACTTAGGCCAATTTTAAATTCTTCCCATGATGGTTCACCCCTTTTGTTAACTCTGTGTGAACCTCACATGCCCTCAGGGTCCACGCCGTCATTCTTATTCCTGGAGGTGTTCCTTGGCACCTTCTCATAGCGGAGACGCTCAATAAATAACTCTCACTTCACAAGTCATATTTACTAATCTTCCATTTTTCTCCTTTTCTCTCAACAAGGTTACCCTCCCTGCCAGCAAAAGTCTCAAGTTCTCGCCAGAAACAAAAACTCAGAAAGGTTTGTTTTCAGATGAGGAGGACTCTGAGGTATGGAATTCTTTTTTCTTAGTGCTAAATATTTATCTATGCCTGTGACCCTAAAGATTGTTATTTCTGAATCAGTTTTTTCCCCAGTATAACACTTTCCATTTTGGGGTTTGACCCTGCTGCTCTGTATGTGAGGAGAATACCTCTGGGATTCTCTGAGTTGTAGGCTGTTACTGATCCACACAGTGAGGTGCCTGGGCCAGAAAGGACAGCAGCCTGCTGATTCCATTTTTGACAGTCTCGCTGACTAAATGGCAGGCATGTTTTTGGTCGTTGACACAAATTGTAGGTGGCCTCATTCCTTCTAAGTGGTCTTTCTCTAACTACCTCGAGCCTAGTCCTCTCAGATTAGCCTTAGGTCAGCTCTTTAAAGACAAAGACCGTCAAAATGTAAGTGTAATTTCAAGAAATCTGGACTCCAGGTTCCACTCTCATGGGTAGACTTCATAGTACCAGCGAGGGTACATTGATGACAAGTGTTACAAGTAATGTGTTTTAGGTTTGCATTTCCTCGAGGGCCCGTGGATGAAGAGAAGCAGCCAAAGCACAATTCAGGCACGCTCCTGACCTTCCACCAAGTGGGGGAGCCTGTGCAGTATCTCGCAGGGGTCCTTTACTATCCGGCAGCTTTCCAGTTTATGCCTGCACCTCACACCCAGCAAGTGTCCTGCCTCTGCTCCTCTGGAGTGTTCTTCTCTGAGGGGGCTCATTTCCCTGCTCTCTGGTCTATGTGAGGTCACCCCACCAGCCCGTCACCCACGGGCTGCAGCACAGACCACACTGCACGCATCCACTCTCTTTTCTGTCCTGGCACTGTTGCTTGGTGACTATTGTCCCTTCCTCAGCTCAGCAAGGCTCCCCAGGGAGGGGAGGATTTGTCTCTGACTGTGTTCCAAATACCTTCTAATGATAGTGCAGTTACCCAGTGATAGTCAAGTGCATGGAAAACCAGACATGAGCAGTTTAGTAACTTTCCTGGTGTTCTTATTTATTGCTGTTACCAAACAATCCAAGAATACCCAAGAATTTGAGAGCTTCTTGTTTATAAGGTGGCAAACAGAAGTTACAAGAATGAGATAAGCTTTCGCTGAAGGTTATGGTACAGTGAGTACCTTGTGAGCATAGTTGTGTGTAGCAAAGTAGTTTTTAGTACATTCACAGAAGCTTCAGTGTGATGACACATTTTATGATTTAGCTGAGTTCAGTGGCAGAGAACAGAATAATGACTGCAGCGTTAATGAAAAAAATGGCTATAGTTAGGTCTGGATTTCTGCTTCAGTTTCACTGCATGTGGCCCATAGCCTTAGGCAAGCAGACATGCCATAAGGCCGTTAGCAGGGGAAGATTTGACTAGAGGACTGATTCCTTGCTCCTGTCTCAAGCTAGTAGCTCAACTGTCTTTTTTCTCAGCACCAAGAACATTATGTAGAAGTTTGTTTTTATTCATTATTTGAATTGCTTTCATTCTCTTAAAGCATTGGAGCCCTTTCTTTTGGCACTGTGTGAAACATAGGAGTGTGCCACCTGCCAGAGCTCCAAGTGTAGCCTCTTCGCTTGAATCCTCCTTTGAACTGGGAATCCCAGGCCTGTGACACTGCTGTGAACACCTTAGATCTGCATTTTGGAAGGAACCCCTGGTTTTATATTTTAAGAAGAGTATTCAAAGGAGTCTTAAGAAAATATGTTCATGTCCTGTTTGGCTTTTAGCTATTGAAGTTTCTGTGCCTAACAGACTGGTTGTCTAGTCTTGTGTTTCAGATTCGTACAGCTCAGTTCACAGAGCTTTCTCTGCAGTCTGAGGTGATATTTTAAAACACAAGAATAATCAGAATCCAGCAGATCTTTGGTTTGCAACGTCTTGTAGCTATACTTCAAGTTGAATAGCAAATGTTTTGAAGTAGAAATTTAATTTGTATTCATTTTAAAGAAATACTATCTTTAGGAGAGAAAAGTATTACTGATAAATAATCACAGGTCTACTAGTTGGGAATCTTGGCCCTGTTTCCGTGATTTGGGTCATTATTTCTGATTCCTTTAGACAGGCAAAGCCATTATTTTACAACATGCTGGGATAGTAACAGAGAATTGATCTTCTACCTGAGGCCTTTAGGGTGGATATGTAGAGACCCTGGGCTTGAGTGAGACTGTTGAGGAAAAACAGGACCATGCCAGATGGGACACACTTGTACCAAGGAACTTGGAAAGCAGACAGCTTTATTTATGCCACCAGACTGACAGGAATCTTGATTCCAAATCATCAGCCCTGTGCTAGGGTTACTAGAACCCTTACATATGTTGTTAACAGGAAATATAAAAAACTAACAGGAAGTACTGGCTGATAACTTCCTGCAGTTGATTATATACGTGTTGTTAGGCAGATTTAATTGTCAGTTTAGTTGGGGTTTTTTATCCTGTGGTGGGACAGTCAGGGCTAGGGTGAGCAGAAGAATCAGTCAGTGTCCTGGGTAGAGCTGAGCTGTCTCTAGCGGTATTTCTTTGAAACTTGGAATGTGTCAGCATAGCAAGATACACTTTTGTTCAAGTTACACTTACCTTACTTGCTGTAGCTGCCATTAGTATGCTAAGGCTAGCTGAATTCTGTCACTCTCTAGTTATGAAAACAAGGCTGTACCTGCTTTTTCTCATCCATGAATACAATGGTAAACTTACAAGTTTTAAAATTTCCTTTACATTTAAAATCTCCTTTACAAGACCACCCAGAGTCCCTCAACCCTCTTCCTCCATCAGCTGCTAGTGGTACACTCACCTACATACAGCAGGCTCCCAGACTAGTCCCCTGAGGTCTGTCTCAACCTCAGGGCATCTATTGTGTCCTAGTCATTGTTCCCATAGTGACCTGAAATGCTAACCACAACTTCAATCTTGATCCAACAGGATTTGTTTTCTCAAAATGTAAGTAAGTCCAAAAGTGCATCTCTTCTACCCAGCAAGCTTCCCACATCGGTCTCCCTTTTTGACGATGAAGATGAAGAGGTAAACATTCTTACTGCAGTAGCAGATAATCGACTTCTAACTAAGTAGAAAAGGCAGCTGATGTTACAGGACAGCCAGAGGCCCACAGAGTAGAAGGCGTGCTAGGAGCCACAGGTTGCCTGCGGCCGGTGGAGCGGAAGTATGGCTGTTGTCAGAGGAGATAGACATGTGGCCAGGTTCTTGTGGGAGGCTTAATGGAGTTCATCTTTAGACTGCCTTTCAGAGTGCTGTTTCCATGGTGACGCTCAGGTATGCTGGTGATTTGCAAGACTATCTTAGATAAAGGGGTGTTGAGGAGCAGGAGGCTAACCTTCTGACCTGGCCTTTCTTTCTCACCCTGGGTAGGGAGAGTGCACAGTAGGGGAGGAAAGTCAGAGTGAAACCAAAGCACATCCAGGCCTTGTGCAGCATAGCGCAGTGGCTCAGACCCAGCTCCTCTGCGTACAGGACCCTTATCTCCTAAATCTCCACTCCCTGAAAGCGAATAGGCCATCTTGACAGCCGAAGCTGACACCTGATGCAAAACCCTTTAAAGTACCTGGCAGGGAGTCAGTGCCCAGTGAGTGTTGCCCCTCAGCCCATCATGGCCCTTGCAGCCTCACCCCCCATCCTGCGAGGCCCCTTCACCTGTCTGTGCACTGCAGGGTGTCCACCTGCTGTCTGTCACACACCACAAAGAGTTTCTCCAGCCAGACTCAGATCAGGCCTGTCACAGTTTGGTTCCCATTACCTCAGAAATATTTTAATGTACTTCTAGAGTGAATTTACAATGCCAGTCAGCCCTTAGCATGCCAGCAATTTTCTGTAATAAATGTTTCTTAACTTTGTATCTATCTTTTAAAATTAATTAGAAACAAGCCATTCCTCCCTCTCCCACGAATGTGTCAGTCTTAGCTATTAAAGGGTGGAGAAAGACCCTAAGTTCTGTTTTTATCCATCGCTGGGTTTCTGAGTCACAGAAGAGAAGTATGACTTGGGAGCTGCCACCTCCTCTCATGCCCATGGCGCCCTACCTGCACCTTAGTTTCTCCTTGTGCCTCTACCACCTCTGTTGTCCCCTCCTTGCTCCCTGCTCTGCACTTAGGTTCTGTGGTGACCCACTTATTTCCGCGGGTAGAGCATACCTTAGGAAAAGCCATGAGGGGCTGTTTATTGACCCACGAGGTGTTGTGCTCTGGCCCCTGAGGAGACTTGCTCCCATTGACATGACTTCTCTTTCGTGCGTATGAAGCCGTCATAGCTTCCTGCCATTTGTTTTCCTAGGATAACCTTTTTGGTGCTACTGCTGCTAAGAAACAAGTGCCATCTCTACAAACTCAGAATCAGGAGAAAGCAAAACCCTTGGAGCAACCCAGAAAGAAGGCCTCTGCCTTACTGTTCAGCAGTGATGAGGAGGTGAGTGAAGGTTTCACCCGAAGATGAGGAAGATCTCATTTGATGGGATTGAAGAGTTACAGCTGGCTTGGGCATCTCAAAGGTGATGCTTGCAAGATTGTGGATTTTTAAGACTACTTAGGGTGTGTTAATTTAGAGATTAATGTTTTCAGAATAACTAGAATACCTAGTAACAGTCCCCAAGCTCTACTTGCTGCTAATTCAGACAAGGTGGGCCATGGAGGGGAGAAATGATTTCTCACCTGTCTCAGGTTCATGGCTGAGTCCCTGTGGCAAGACAGACTAACACAGGAAAAACATGCACATTTATTTTAGATAAATTTTAGGTGGGAGCTGTTAGAAATGAAGACCCACAGACACAGGAAACTCGGGTATTTCATGTCATGTCTGATGAGCACGGGCATTTGTGGAGGAAACCAGACAGAGAGGTGATCAGATGGCCATAACCAGGGGAGTTCAGCCAGGCCCCTGTGTTTAGGTTGATCTCCAAGCTTGGCAGGTGTGGCAAGAGCTTGTTATCTATTATTTCACAGTCTGCTTCAGGATGTTTTACATTAAAACAGTATTATTCTCTCCCACCACAATTGATTTTGAGCCCCTAAGATGAACCAGTTCTCTTGTTTCAACCTAGACAGAATCGTAGCAGGGAGAAGTGGTGGTGGTGAAAGAAAGCCTGCAGGCTGTGAGGTTCCAGAACCCAGCTGAGCGGTCTGAGTTCAAAGCTCTGGACATGACCTTTCCTCCAGAGTAATACACTTAGTATTACTCAACAAGTGTCAAGTACCCCTACCTCCCCTGATCTGAGTTGCTGTTGGGTTTTGTTTTGTTCTTGTGGTGCTAGGGAATAAGAGGCAGGCTCAGGCCTGTGTCAAGTGAGCACTGTGCCGCAGAACTGCTCCCCTCACCTGTTGTGTGACCCAAGGGTTTGTCTTTTCAGGACCAGTGGGGCATTGCTGACACACAGAAGTTGGCCTCTGACAACAAATCCAAAGGAGGGCTCAGCAACTCGGGGACCATCCAGGGCCAGCAGGCCTCGTCCGTGAAGAAGACCAGCCTCTTTGAGGAGGACGATGAGGATGACCTGTTTGCCATTGCCAAGGACAGGTGAGATAGTCGTGGCAGGAAGCCGATGGCTCCGTGTCTGCAGTGGCAAGGGAAGGTTTGGAGGACACGGGTCAGGCCATGTGTGCTTGTCACGACACATGTCCAGGTCTTCTTCCCAGTGCCAGAAGTGCTTGTTTTGTTGGATCATTGCTTGATTTCTTCTATCATCATTTTTATTAGCATGGAAATATTCTTTGTCTTAGTTTTTCAATGGTTTAAGTAGTTGTTGTCCTATGTGTTTTTTAATTTTCTCTGAGATATCCTAAAGATTGTTAAGTGTGGTCAGGGTTACTTAAAAAACTGTCACTTCCATAGAAATGCACCTCACATTGAAAAGTGTCCTGATAGAGGTCAGCCATCCACAGAGCTGTGGGACCCACTGGTGGCAGGAACCCTCACCATCTGGGTGGCTTCCCTCTGACAAGAATGTGGAGGAATTGGAACCCCATACACTGCTGGTGGGAAGGCAAAGTGGGTAGAGCCAATGCGGAAAATGGCTTGGAGTCTCCTCAGAATGTTAAGTGTAGAGTTACTTGTGACCTGATAATCCCACCCTTGGGTGCATATCTAAGCAAAATGCAAACAAGTGTTAATGCAAAAACTTGCACACAGGTATTGTAGCATTACAGTAGGAAAAAGGTAGAAAAAAGCCCCATTCTGTCAGCAGTGACTGGGTAAATTGCATAACAGCACAGTGGACTGTAACCCTCCAGGATAAGAAGTGAAGCACTGATAACATGCTGGGTGGTGGGTCAGCTTAGAAACACTGTGTTCATGAGCAGAGCTGGCCACAGGAAATCACAGATTGTAGAATTCCCCGATGTGGTGTGCCCAGGATACATAATGCCGAGGAGACGGAGTAGACTGGCTAGCAGGGTTGAGGAGAGAAAGGGTGAGCAGTGACTGCTGGCGGCTCTGAGTTTCTGGGTGATGGAAATTCTGGAGCTTGGGTTGAGGTGATCATGCCCAATTCTGAGTATCAGAGAAACCCACTGCCGTCCATTCTCGGGGAAGTTGAATTTATGGGTGAAAATTCTTAGTGAAGCTCCTGTAAGAAAGGCAGTATGCAGCCCATGGCCTCATACCTCAAGGCTGGCCATGCCTTCCTGACCATGCTGGGTGCAGGTGGTCTGCTCTCATCCCTTCTCTGCTTCTGCTATGATGCCACAGGCTCACAGCTGGCACACCTACACTGGCAGAGAATGACAGGTCAGAGGCCAGGAGAAGAGGTCACAGGCCAGAGATGAGTGTCCCCAGTCCCTCATGTTTTCTGTTGGTTCTCAGCTGTGTGGGGTCAACAGATGGGGCAAGTGGCTGGCCGAAGGTATAGTCTAGAAAAGATCCTGTTCTTGGTCTTCAATGATATGTGCCCTGAATTTGACATTTGTTTTTTCACGTAGCCAGAAGAAGACGCAGAGAGTGTCTCTCCTGTTCGAAGATGACACAGACACTGGAAGCTCTCTGTTTGGCTCTCCTCCCGCCTCTGCTCCTCCTGCAGCAATGGTACTTCTCCTCTCTCAGACCCAAGAAGGGTTCTTGGGGTTCCACTGTAGCATAATAGTGCAGCCCACCTGGGTCACTGAGCCTCAGGAAGAACTTGTCTGTCTGGTACAGAAAGAGCTCTGGTTAGGGGTACTGCCAATGTGAAGCACGTTGTACAGAGCCCGCAGAAAAGGGCTCCCGTGTCAGGCAGCCCACTGAAGCAGGTGCAGGAACAAGAAGCCCCCTGTCGGGGAGACTGAGCCCCAGAGCCTACAGTACTGCTGACATTTTTGTGACTGCTCAGCTTTTCCTCACTGTGACAGGTATGAGAACCTGGGGTAATCTAGGCCAAGGCTGGAAGGTGTGTTTTGGCTCTAGATTTCAGAAGTTCCAGTGTGTGGCTGGTTGGCCTTGCACTATGGCAGGAGCGTGAGGTGGAGGGAATGCTCCCCTTGTGTTGAAGAGGAAGCAGAGTGGAAGGGATTGGGTCTCTTGCCTCAGTGACCTCATTTCTTTCTTTTTTTTTTTTTTGTCTCTTTTCTTTTTATCAGTACCGGGGATCAAACTCACGACTGCCTGCTTGCAAGGCAGGCGCTTATGCTGCTGAGCTAAATCCTCAGCCCCAGTGACCTCATTTCTTCCCACCAGTCACCCCACATAAAGGTGCCACTGTCACAGGCTCCTGTGAGCGCTCAGCTGTGCGTAAGATGAGGCACTAGAGAGAAAGTATGAAAGTTCATTACAAGAAAGATGTTCGCTTTTCTCTTGGCAGAAAAAGGAGGCTGCCCATGAGGCACTGTCTTCGCTGTTCAGCGATGAGGATGAGAAGGAGCTGCAGATTGGAGTGAGACCTGCAGGTCAGAAGGCAGAGAGCCCCCTCACACCCTCCATGCTGCAGCCAACGGGCGAGGCTGAGGAGCTGGAGAAGGTAGGCCTTGGCCTCGTTTCCCCATGCAGTGGTGTCCCAAACGTTACTGTGTCGCTCGAACACACCTTTTCTACCACAAATGGTCAGTGCCTCGTGTGCAGAAAGATTTGAAAGCCCTAGAAGATGAGACGGCAGCGTGAGCTCCAGAGACCCTTCCCACAGCCCCGCTTTGGTTCCTGTCCTCAACACACTTCCTGTTCTGTGGCCGCCTGTGGAGTCCCCTCAGTGCACGTGTTCTCTTCCTCCCCGGGTGCGCATCCAGGTCTCATATCCTTTTCTCTTTTCTGGCTTCTTGTCTCTGCGAGTCTCCTGTCTCCTTTAGCCCCTCTTGGCCCCACCTGTACTTGAATTAAGACGTCAGTTTTACAGAGACTGGTTTCAGATTGTTGTATTTTGGGTTGATGCTGGTTGCGAATTACAAAGCAAGGTGAAGTGTGTGTTTCCTCTCAAACACTGGCGCTCTTCACCTGCTGTGTCTGGCTGGGGCCTATGTAAGTGCTGCAGGCAGGCTACATCTGAGAGTCCAGGAGCTGCAGGACCCCTCCATCTCTGGTGTCCATCTTCTGACTCTTCTCATGTACTGTGTGTCTGGCCACTATATCCAGGGCCTGAGGCAAGAACAGTGCATTACTGTTCCTGGGCAGCTGTCATGATGTGGATATTTCCCTGTGACCCATCGCTCTGACCTGCTCCTTCCAGTGTCTGTGTGTGACCCCATCAGATGTGGGCCTGTGCTATCCTGTCCCAGCCCATCCCATCCTTGCCTCTGCCTGCCTGCCCTGCACCCTTTCCTTCACTTCTCGGGCCTAGGCTGCTTTTGTTCACCATTCTGTCTTTTACTTCATGCTCCATCTTCCACATAGGCACCATCTCCCTTACTATGTCAAAAGCATGTTTGGCCGTTCTCAAATTGGAGTGTGCCTCTCTGTCTATGACAGGTGAAATTAGGAGTCGGTCTCCTTCCTAGTTGTGTGTAGACTTAACAGTGGTTTTTATGCCACTAACATCATACCTGAATTATGATACCATGGAATGAGTGAGTATGTGTCAGGATTATATTGGAAATTGTTCTCATTGTATACACAGTCATAGCCTGCAGTTTCAGTTCTCTGGTTTTGCTTATTAGGTTTCCCTTTGGGCCTTAGGTATTGCATTAGTTACATGCTGTGAAGCGTGTGACCCACTCCCAGTGATGGACGTTTATTATCTCTATGACTTAAAGGTTCCTTCTAGCTCCTAAGCAGCCTGTGTGCAACAGGGTTCTGACTGACCCATCACCTGGAAGGGAGGAAGGACCTGCATCTTAAAGTACTTGGAGGAGTTATCTTTGATAGTTATTGGCTGTACCAGACTCTTCATTGGCGTGGCCAGCCAAGAACTGACCTCACTGTTCTGTCACCTGGAGCAGACGTGATGAGCTGCAGTGCCCTAAATCCTGCAACTGGGGCAGCTGTGAAATGCATAAGGTGTGGGAAGGTGCCAGGATCATATTTTCACTGAACATGTATTACTTAACTTTCTCTTACTGTTTCCATTTTTTAGGAAGGACCTGTGACCACATCTGCCCAGGAAGCAATCAGGCATTCTGATTTGTTTTCTCCAGCGTCCCCACTGGATAAAGGAACCAAGGGTAGAACTAAAACTGTCCTTAGTTTGTTTGATGAGGAAGAAGATAAAATGGAAGATCCAGACAGCACCCGTGATCCACAGATAGAAGTGGGGAAGGTGAGCAGGAGGAGCACAGGTTCGAGTCTATAGGCACGATGAATCTTTTTTTTTTTTTTTTTTTTTTTTTTGTCTTTTTCGTTTTTATCGGTACCAGGGATCAAACTCATGACTGCCTGCTTGCAAGGCAGGTGCTTATGCCACTGAGCTAAATCCCCAGCCCCGGCATGATGAATCTTATTTTGTGGTGTTCCGTCATGAGTTCAGAAATCTTAGCTTTTGGAACAGAGAGTAAATGATTCTATCCTGTCATTCAGATTTTTGGAAACCTGATCAATGACTTCCCTCCAGGGCCTCTGTGTGTGAGGGCATTAGGGTACCACCTGCCTCTGCTGGGTACTCCTAGCAAGCCTTTACCCTTGGCCAGTTAAAGGATGTTAGCAGGGGAGAAGGTAGTCAGGCCAGATCTGTACACTGAAGTACTTCTAGCACTCATTTCAACAAATGCAACTGGCATAGTGGTTATCTGCGTGCAAAAGAATGAAGCTGGATCATACACACAAATAAGATGCAGGCGTCGTAGATACAAATAAAAGAATTGAAAGTATACAACTCCTAGAAGCAAATATAAAAATAAATCATCATGACCTTGGATTAGGCAGGACTTTCTCAGATATGACACAAGAAGATTACCAAAATGGACTGTATTGAAATGAAAACCAAAATTGTTCTTCAGAGAACACCTTAAAATGACCCATGGATGTGAGAAATATTTTTGTATCATGAAAATGTGTTGATAAGGGAGATACATATAGAATACATAAAATAATTACAATCTAGCCATAAAAAGATAACCCAAAGAAGATGCACAAGTAGCTAAAACACATGAAGAAACACAGAGCCTCATCAGTGATTAGGGACCAAAACCTCAGTGAGGTGCCTGTCGGGAAGATTATAACTGGAAAAGAAATGTACAGGTGTTAGCAGGGTGTGGAGGAACTGGAGTGTGGAATGGTCTGAGTACTTGGAAAGCAGCTTCTTGGTCCAAAAGTTGTTAAAACATGCAGTTTCCACGTGGCCCAGCAGGTCCATGCTTAGGTGTATATCTAAGAAGTGAAAGTGTTCACACTAGTGTGTGCTGGACATTCCCAGCAGGATTGTGCACACAAACAAAATAATGGAAACAACTCATGACCCAGCACGTCCATACAGTAAGGGACAGTGCTCCTACCCACAGCTTCACTTTTCGCAGTTCCATTTACCCACAGAACCTGTAATCTGAAAATGTGAAATGGTAAATTCCATAAATGAGCAATTAGTTTTTATGCTGTGCCTCTTTCTGAGTACCATGACAAGGTTTCATGCCACCCGGATCATCGTTGCCTGGGATGTGAGTCATCTCATCATGCAGCGGCAATGTGGGCACCTTTTGTAGGCAGCCTGGCAATCACATAGTCACTCTTGTGGTTCCCATGCTGACTTACCATCTTGGCCACATTGCGGTGCCAGTGTGAAAGGAAACCTTACCTTACATAATCATGGCCCCAGATCCAAAAAGAAAGATGCTGGTGATTCAGACACACTAGAGAGAAGCAGTAAAGCACCTGTCCTGATTGAAAGGTGAAAGTTCTGGTCCTCGGGATGGAAACCAAAACCTATGTACAAGTTGCTGAGTTCAATGATAGAACAAATTTTCTGTCTGTGAAATTACGAAGAAAAGAATTCATGCCTAGTTTTGCTGTTGTATCTCAAACTGTAAGATACACCCCACCAGGTACTGAGGTTACAAAAAGAACTAAAGTGTTTGATGCTATCCAGGGTTTCAGATATCCACTGGGGGTCCTGGAATGTCCCCCTTCAATAAAGGAAGCTGCTATTTTATTTCCCAGTGTAGAAGTGCAGTAAATAGGAATGTGTTCTAATGCTGTGTCCATGCACTGCAGTTTATACTCACTTTACTTACTGTTTATATTTTTATAAAGAACTGGAGGAAAGGAGTTGCAGGGTTTCTGACATAAGTGATGAATAATGAAGGAGTTGGAAATGCTAATTACCTTGATGTGTTCATTACATTATACACACATACCCAGTTATCACATGAAGACACAAAGTAAACGAATGGTTGCATGGGACTGAGTGAAAGTTTGGGCATGAGTGGAAAGTGACTGGATCAGGGGTTTCTTTTAGGGTGATGAGAATGTTCTAACCTTAGATTGTAATGGCATTTGCTTGCACAACTCCATGAATATATTTAAAAATTCTTGCATGATACACTCTTTCAGTGTTGTACTGTATGAATATGTTGTCCTCATGCTGTTGGGCACTTAAGCTGTGCCAGCCTTTTGCATATCAGAAGCTGTAGGTAATGTCTTGCTAGTATTTGTCTTTGCATGTGATTTTTGTGTGCTGCGTCCTTAGAAATGTAGTCACCATGTTTTCAATCTTTTACCCAGGGTCCTGATCCTGATGCCCGGCCCAAGAGCACAGGTGTCTTCCAGGATGAAGAGCTCCTTTTTAGCCACAAGCTCCAAAAGGACAATGACCCAGATGTCGACCTTTTTGCTGGCACCAAAAAAAGCAGGGTGCGTTCCGCACATGCCATCTTTGTCGCTTGGTTAGATACCGTCTTGGAGGCTTGCCCAAGGAGGCTGTCCACTGCTTTCCTTTTTGGTGCCAAATCTGAGTGTTGTCTGTTCAGTTGGCAGAGCCAAGCGTGGGGAACCTGTTTGGTGATGACGAAGATGACGATCTTTTCAGCTCTGCCAAGACCCAACCTGTGGTATCAGCCTTTTCTCTGTAACGGGGATGTGAAGGAGGAAACTAATGTCATTTACCAAAGCAAGGAGAATGCACAGAGAGTTGTGGTGCCCGGTCTTAAGCGAGTAGCAGCTAAACATGCTGATGGAATCATACATTTGGGATCCGAGTGTCAGTTTGTGTGGCTGCCCATGCTGCATTTCTTCACTAACATTAAAAGAGTCACAGAGCTAAGTCCTCTGACTGCATTACTAACATGTTTGATTTTTTGGAAGCCCATTGCTTTTACTCTGGTGACTCTTTTTGTATCTTTTGGATACAGACCTTTAATTTTAAGTTCTAATCCATGTACTTTTTTTTCCTGCTGCCCCACTGAGTTTTGTTTTTTATCATAGAGGGGACTCCGGTGAAAGGCACAGTTTTTCTCTGCTTTCTCTTTCCCCATTTGCTTTGTGGTGTTGGGCGTCAAGCCCAGGACCTGTGCATGTCAGGCAGGCACTTAACCGAGCTGCACTTCCAGCCCTGGGAAGTTATGACCTTCAGAATGCTCTTCCTGAAATGCTGCTGTTTGGATGCTCAACCTTCATTGAAGAAGGGAATTTTGAAAATCCAGAAATCAAGTTCTTTTGGAATTACAATTTTTCTTTAAAGTTTTTAAGATACATGACGTATTTTAGTCTTCCTTTTATTTTTTGTAGGTGCCAGAAAAAAAGAAGGTAGTAAAAAAAGACCACTCTGTTTCCTCTTCCAAGAACCAGAAGCATCCAGAATCCACCCAGAGCAGCAAAGAGAAAAGCATGTGGAAACCAGAAGCAGCACAGGTTAGACATTTTAAGGATTTCTAGCTCTCTTGCATCTAAGCACAGGTCAGTTCCATTATGCAGACTCAGCGCTGTCCCACAGCAGCTAGAGCCTTGTTTTTTGCTGTGCCTTTTATCCCTGTTCATTTCTCCTCCCCTCACCCCACTACAGTCTCACCAGTCTGTACCCAGTCATCATCATCTGATCTGATTCCAGATTCATTTCCAAGTTAGAGCAAAGGGAGAGTGCAGAGTCTCTTATTCTCTGAGCTCCCTTGGAGTAGAATTAAGTTGCTGTGAATCCCACTTATGGCCCCTTCTTCCAGAGTGGTGGCTGTCAGTCCCCTCTGCAGTCGTCTCAAAACTGGAACAAGGAGGCCCATCACCATTCATTCATCGTAGAGCTCAGATGCCTGGAGAACCATACAGGGCCATGGAGAGTCCATGTGGGGCAGCCACCATGGTCATTTGCCAGTGGTCAGGCCTCGTTCTGACAAACCATGGCTCCTAGGAATCCTAGTAGTTCGTGTTCCTTACTACTATGTGTGTGACTGACAGCCTTCCACCTGTGTGGCAGAGGAAGGCTATAGCAAGGGACACGAGCAAGGTGTGAGGCCCTGGAAGAGATCTGTGTGATCTGCAGCAAGTGGCGGTATTCAGTGTTGCTCCATCTCAGATCTGTCTGCAGGCTTCAGTGTAACCCAAGAGACACTTGGTTCCCTGTTCGCCATGGATCATTAACTGACTGTAATTTCACACAGGATTCATCAGGTCTCGCTCCATTTAAAACCAAAGAGCCTTCCACTCGGATCGGGAAAATACAAGTAATTATAACAGAACCTTCATTGCCTGCCTTGTAGCATATATAATCCTGTTTTGGAGTTTCACTTTTTTCAGCTGCTACAAGCATCTTCTCATCTCTGCCCCCCACCCTCAGCACACCCTGCACTCCTGGTTGTTGCTTCTGTGTGCCGTGTCTTTAACATCTTTTCTTGTCCCAGTGGTGGGCACAGGTGTGTTACGCTCTGGTCTAATTCTGAGTCTGGGTTGGGTGGTTTTTCCTACATTCCTCTTCTCTTGTATTCTACATCATAAGCACTGAGTCTCATCATGTGTTGCAGAGATGATACTAGACTGCTGTATTTAGGAACAAATACCAACTTTTTGTTTCTCTTCCTCAGGCAAATTTAGCAATTAACCCTGCAGCCTTGTTGCCTGGAGCAGCTCCCCCGGTCTCGGGAGCAAAGTCTGTTTCTCCAGAATTGACTCTTCCTCCTGCGGCACCTGGCCTCAGTGTGGATGGTCAGCCTACTCCTCCTGGCCTTGGGGAGGCCAGCGTGAGCTTCGATCTTCCTGCACAGGCAGACACCTTACACAGCGTCAACAAGGTGATGCAGCTGTCCGTGCCTGCTTTGCTCTCGGCAGGGTGGCCTGGTGACCTCTTCCTAGTAGCTGAGTGGTACACAGTAGTCCCACTCTGATGACAGTTTTGGAGGAGGCACCACACACTTCATTCCACTGTCCTCCCTGCCATTGCAGGGAGGCCCATTGGGGCACTTTCCTCCCCAACTAGAAAAGCTGTCACCTTGACTCATGGGCTGTGCTCAGCAGATTCCAAGCTCCTGTACATGTTCCTTCCATGTTAATGCAGTTTTTTTTCTATCGAGTCATCTTCCGTCCCTGGAAAGTCTTAACTCAAATCTTAGCTTAAGTCTTAGCAACAGCATCTAAGAAGTCCTACTCCTGGTGCCTATATTCAGCTGTTCCAAATCTGTTTTTCCAGGCAAAATAGAACATCTTTCTTCTTGTTGATATTTTCTGTTATTTCTTTTGTTTAAATTCACTACTTCATAAAATTATTTAGGAAATTGCCTTGAAGTAGACACAAATATTTTGCCCAAAATAGATTGTAGCTTCTCAAAACTCAACTTGTGTGTTTTGGAAAACATCACAAACACCAAATTTATAATGTGTTTCACACATTAAGGGTTCTGGTTCCTGGGCTATATTTTTTGCACTCAATGCTTAGTGTTTGTTGAAGAAAGCACTTGGAGTTATGTTTCTTTTTTGTTTCCTATTTCTCTGTCCCCTGGAGCCTGAAAAATGATGGTATTTTCTTGTTGGAAGGATGTTGATGTTTGAGTTGAGGGCAGAGGAGGCACCAGGCAGTGCTGTGGGTCACAGAGCACTCACATGCCCCATCCTAGGGCTCCAGCAACCCTTAAAGCTTCTCGTGTGAAGTTGAACTAAAACTGTCCTCGGACCCAAGAATGGAGAACATAAAGTCTTAGGAAAGAGGCTTGGTGTAGCAGGACCTGTAAACTGCTTCTAAATTCAGTGTCTAGTAGGCTGTACCTCCACTGATGCAGATCAGATACCCATGCAGTATTCTGAATCAATGATTTTTGTTGTGTTGGCTTTGGACACTTTATCATCAAGTCCACTTGTGGTGTTTTCCATATTGCAGAGCCGCGTCAAAGTGAGAGGAAAGCGTAGGCCGCAGACTCGGGCAGCTAGGAGGCTGGCTACCCAAGAGTCCAGCGAGGCTGACGACACAAGCGTCACTGGAGGCCCCATCACACAGTCTGCAGATGGCTCCGTTAAGCCAAGTGACCATCAGCTTCATCCCAGAGTGGCCGGCATAGGAGTCGGGTCTGAGGAGGGCATGGCTGCTGCCACTGCACCTAGGAAAAGCCATCCTGCAGCAGCGATGGACAGGAGCCCTTTTGTAACACCCTTGGGCCAGTCTGGGGGTGAGGTAGACCTGTTTGATTCCGAGGACATCTTTTCCAAGGGCACAGGATCACAGTCCATAGAGAGAGCAAAAGCCAAGGTGAAAGCCACAGAGACTTCAGCCCACCTGGCCAAGGATAGGAAAGGAAAGAGCCCCCTGTTTCCTGCCCTCGACGATGCCGCCAGTGATGATGATCTCTTTCAGTCCGTTAAGCCAAGACCAGCAAAGAAAACAAACCCTTTCCCTCTCCTGGATGATGAGGACGATCTCTTTACTGATCAAAAAGGCAAGAAGAATGAGCCCAAGTCCAGCGAGGAGCAGGGTGTTGCATCAAGGGTACAAGATATTTTTGAGGTAACAAATATTCCATGGCTCATTTGAACCAGGGCTGTGTTCAGCTTGTTTTGTGCATGCCTAGTAGTAACTCAGATCTCTTGTTAATAACTCTGCATTTACTCAGAAGTGTTTCTTCATTGCACGTACTTATTCTTAACCATAATCCTTGACACAGGTCTTGATGGGGGAAGGAGTGCTGGAATTGAACCCATGGCCTCGCAGCCCTAGGCAAATGCTCTGCCACTGATGTACACCCCAGCCCGGGATCTTGGTTGCAGAGTTTGATTTCTTTACAAACTTTTGCTGCCACCAGCTTCCTATGAGCAGTGTGCAGGTGTGACTTGTGGTGCTTGTCTGATTCTGGGAAAATAGGCCCTGGCTGGAGCTATGGTTTAGCAGAGGCCCAGGCACAGTGGCCTTGGGTTGGAGTTATTTGGCAAGATGTTGAACATCTGGGCCCAGACCGGAAATGAACTAGGATGAGTCCTCTACTCCCCAGAGCTCTCAGGAAGAGGAAGAAGACAGTGAGAGGGCAACGGATGATCAAAATGTTCTCAGCACTGAAAGCAAGGGAGCAGGCAGCATCAGAGCTGCAGCAGGCCAAGGGCAGGTCTGAACAGCTCTACTTTGCAGGCAGCAGCAGGTTGTTTCCGGACACCATAGCAGTGTGCATTTGTAGAATTCAGGAAATGGTCTTAGTAACAGATACATATATGTTTTGCTTTTTGTTTTTTGCCTTAATAAGGATGATATATTTGCTACGGAAGCAGTTAAACCCTCACAAAAAAAGAAAGAAAAGGAGAAAAACTTGGAACCCAGCTTACTTGATGATAACATTGATATTTTTGCTGACCTAAGCCTAAAACCAAAAGGAAAATCCAAAAAGAAAGTGGAAGCTAAGTCAATCTTCGATGATGATATGGGTAAGTCTAATTTTCCACCTTGGGCCTAGAGAATCGATAGTGCTGGATACCTGGCCTTGTCAGGCCTTTACTTGCTGTGTGAGCCTCAGTCAGGTGAGGATGGACAAGTCCATGGCTAACTGCTCAGGTGAAGCAGCCTGTGGGCATAGTGGCCCTTAGAGGATGTGAAGGTGCCCAGGATTTAGCCTTGAGCACTATTTAACTTCTGTCTTGGTGGTGCACCCTCTGTGATATGGCAGATAAGGACCTAAACACTGGTGCAAACTGAGACAGCTGTTTGAGGCCAGGGAGTTGTTGAACGTGAATTCCAGCTTGAGGGTGAGGGCCCGCAATTGAGAGATCGAGGGGCAGAACATGGGGAGGAGGGCCACTATTCCAACTCTGCGTCTCCCTGGTTCTTTGCTTTATACACATGCTGCAACCTCTGCTTGGCAAATGGGAAAACCAGAAGTCCCATAGGCATAAAGGCAGGGCCTCCGGTAGCCTCTGAGTAGACCTGGGTGGAGGCCAGAAGGACTGTTCCTACAGGCTCACGCCTTCCCCCAGGTTAGCCCTGCCAGGTCAGGCTGCTTCCCCAGCAAGCATGCACTGTCCCTGCTTCCCGCAACAGGGGTATGAAGAAAAAATTTCATGTCTTCTTTATTACCAGAAATGTAATCGCACACACAGTGATAGATAAGTTAAAAAATATGAAAAGTGAAAACAAAAGGCCTTGGAGGTAACCATTATTCAATTTGCTGTATTTTCAGCATGGTAATGATAATACATATTTGTATGTGTGTGTGTGTGTGTGTGTGTGTGTGTGTGTGTGTGTGTGTGTATCTATACAGATAGATATAATTTTCAAAATAAGAATAGACTTTACCCATTCTGTTAATTTTAATCACCTTTCAGATATCTTTGTCAGTACATAGAGTTCTTGATTTTGGTGGCTACAAAATACTGCTATATATTTAGCCTGTTAATGACAATCTAAATTTTCTCTAATACAAATAATGCCATGCATGGTTTTTATCATGTGTCTTTATAATACACCTGGCAGAATCCTAGCGGTAACATCACTGTACCCAGGAGCAAAACTAAGACAGGTTTTAAAGTCACTGATCACCATGCAGATACAGTCCTGAAGACTTCATTCTTTGGTGCCTCAATTTGATGCTTTTATTCTGAAAGAAGACAATTCATATGTCAGACTCCCTTCCTTTTAAAATCAAGTAAAAAGGTAGAAATAAGTCCATTGGCCCATCAGAGATCCACTCAGACTTCCCTTTCCCCACTTGCTATAGTCAACATTTGTGAGGAGAACAATTAAATTAAAATCAGGACATGAAGTTTATAATGTTATTTTATGATGGTCACCCAGAGTTAACACAAGAAAGTGCAAGAAATCTATCCACAACACTAAAGACATAGAATATTTAGCCAAGGGCCTGAATTACACAGCAATGTCCCACATGAATCCAGATGAAGCTCATAACCCAGAGCTCATAACAATGCCTCTGACGAGTCCACCTGGAGCTCTAGAGCCCACAAGAAGAACTCACACCGGTCTCCTTAATGGATCTGTGCCGGGAAGGCCCAAAGGTCAACAATGGAAGCTAGAAAGTCTATGCAAGTTGGAAGAAGGAGCTGTGCTGGTGGGTAGAGGGTTCTACACTGGAACTGAGAGGTCATGCTCAAAACAAGACCAGGGTTGTCCTGTAAAGCAACACAACTATCCTCAATAACATAGAGGTCCCAAACTCCTCCAATGATAAGCACAGTGAGTACATGCCAGGAAGCCAGCATGATAATCTCTCATCCTGGAGATTAAGTGGCACACATCTTCCCCTCTGGAGCCAGGAAGCAGTGCTCAATGTAAGGACCAGAGCTTCTCCAGGAAAACCTAACAGCTCAAACAGCAATACGTAGGAGAACTCTCAATGCCTCAATGTCTAGCTTCTCTTTCTCCATGTCTCCATTTATACTGGCAGCTTTCCTCAGGTGAAACATCTACACTCAGTGCCCTGCAGATTTAATTCAGCTGGCATTAAGTTGGTCAGTTTTTAATCCATGGCACTGCTCTTGCACATGCATGATATATACACTTGCATTTGGTCATAAAACTTATGAGGAGCTGAGGCAGGACCAGGACCTGACCTTGACTTGTGTATTAGTGTTTTTGGTACCTTGCGCTGTTTCCAGAACTGGGTCTGAGGTGGTTTGTGTGGCCTTGTCTTAAAATTACTCATTTTCTCGCCTGTTAACTCTTTTTGTTTTCTCTTTTCAAAGATGATATCTTCTCCTCTGGTCTCCAGACTAAGACCACCAAACCAAAAAAACAACCTGCACAGACAGCGCCTGAACCAAGATCAGAACATAAGGTGTCCAACATATTTGATGATCCCCTGAATGCTTTTGGAGGCCAGTAGAACGTGTGTAGTATCTCTGTCTCACCCTTCAGCTACATCCTTGAGTTAGAGATGTTGACATGTGCTTGTCAAATGACAGATATTGAAGCAACCAGCTCACCCTTTACGCCATGTACTTAGTATCTTTTTGCACTGATTTTAATCAGGCTTACACTGCAAAACAAAAATAAATGTTTCACAGTGGTTGGTTTGGTTTTTTCACTTAGGGCCACAGTAAGATTTCAGCATGTTACAGAAAAAATCTAGTTTTCACAGCTTCCAACAGAAGCAAATGCCACACAGCTGGATCAGGTGTGTGTGGCGGGGGGGGTTCTGTGTCAGTGAGTGGGAGCCCTGGTTTAGTCAAGGTCTGGGTAGATGAAATAGGAAAGATTGTGCTTCATGAGTCTTAGCCTTCAAGAGGTGGTTTCCACTGAATTCCAAAGATGCCTCTGCAAGTCCTCTAGGGAAAAATTTTGCAAACAGTGACCCTCCATCTTCTGGCTGTGTAAGTAAAGTGTTCTTGGAACACAGCCACACCCATTCTTTCACCCATTGCCTGCCTGCATTCAGTCCTCAAACTGCCAGAGTTGAAAAGCTAGACCAGGGCTGGGGATTTAGCTCAGCGACATAAGCGCTTGCGTTGCAAGCATGCAGTCATGAGTTTGGTCCCTGGTACCTATAAAAAAAAAAAAAGAAATTAGAAAAGCTGGACTGGTCATTGGGGTGGCCCACAGCACCCGAGTCACATTATTTTCTGCCACAACAGAAACAGCTCCTTCACCTCACAATCACCCATCTCTGTCCTAGAAGCTCTGTACTTCTTTCTAGAGGCAGCAGGGTGGTCCCGGGTCACAGAAGAGGAGATGTGCTTAGGATAGACATGCTGTCTGCTGAAAGAAGCACTGACAGATAAGCCCTACTGAGTGGGCAGTGACTACCAGCCACATGGAGGGCTCATCTCATCCCAGCTGTGCTTTCCTGGGCTGTGCCGTTATGCTGAAGAGTGTTCAGTCTAACCAAGGAACAATCCTGTAAGCTAGGCACCTTGGCCTCATCAATTGTGAGACTACAGACTTCCTATGGCACATTAAGATTGGACTGGAAAGCTGAAATCCTGGCACTCTGGGAGGCTGAGGAAGGATTGTAAGTTTGAGTCCAACATAGCAAGACCCTGCCTTAAAATTTAAAAAAATAAAAACAATGATGTGATGTTAATTAACCACACCCAGAGCCAAAGGTTTTGTACATCTCTGACAGGTCAACTGTGTACTGTCCTCTGCTGGGAAAGTGAGCTCTGGTGGAAGAAGGTGCTTGCCAGCTGCTAGCTTCTTCCGGGCATCTTTGTGTATTTAGCTTCCTGTTCTGAACCAGGGTCCTGGGTCAAGTCTATCTTCAATGAGTTAAAATCTACCTTTTCTTTTGGAGAGAGCAAATCTCAATCATGGCTGATTCTAGGGGGTTCAAGAAACAATAAGGCTAAAAATACACAAGCTGGTATTTTGAGGGGCTGGAAAGGGACATGCATGGCCAAGTTCCTATGGTGGCACTTCATGCTACTCTTGGTACTCACAGGCAATCAATCTTCATGCCTCAGCCTCCAAAGTACTGGTGTGCACCACATCCCCTGCCACCATCATCCCCCAGCTAGGCAGTGGCCTAACTCTGCAAGTGAGGCTGAAGTCTGGAAGGGTGGGATAGTGGAACTGGGTTGGAATTTTGTATTCTGCCCAAGATTCAACTCTTGGCTAATTCAGAGACAGCCACCTGTGTACAAAGTGGTGTGCCTTCCTTGGCGTCTGTCTCCGGCTTTGTCGGGGTTCAATTCTATACCAGCCTTGCAGTGTTGTGAAGGTTTTGAAGGAGAGAGGATGTAAAAACCCTTGTAAACTGTCTGGCACTTAAACAGTGATAGCAGCTGCTGATGCTAAGAAAATACACACGGTGAAAGACGAGTCCAAGACTTTAATTCGTCTGCGCGACTCCAGAGCCCAGGTTGGAACATTCAATTTTGTAGGCTATACCCAGACGTTTCCAGGCTCTGGGCACCAAGGTGACGACTGTGCCGCCTGAACTGGGGCTTCCTGAAGGACTAAGGGGGCCTGGGCTCCTCCTTGGCTGCAGGAGGCCCTCGGGGAGGAAGGCCCGGCACCACTGAGCCGAGATCAGGGGTCCATCCACCCCGCAGCACAGCAGTCTGCAAACCGGATCTGGCGAGTGGCCTGGACTTCACACCGCCCCCACATGTCTTGTCTTAGGGTGGACCGCGCAGCGCGCGGCTCTGGGTTCCCAGCCTCGCGGAGCGCCCGCTTTCTGCAAGACCACGGAGGCGTATCGGGGACAACGCGGCACAGGTAAGGATCAGTGTGAGGCGCGCAGAGCCGGGTCTAGTAAGACGCCCCGCGCCGGGACCCCGCAGTGCCACACTGTTCAGACCGCGTCCTCCGTTGCCAGACACCGACGCCACATGAGAGGCTCCAACCGACGCTAAGTCTGGAGTCTTCAGCCTCGGCGTCCGAGCAACCGCTAGCGTCGGTCGCCGGCCCCGCCCCACCTCGCTGATAGGAGGGCGGCGCGAGCGCAAGCTCGCGATTGGTCGGCGCATCACAAAGGGGCGGTGCGCTCATCACTAGCCGCGGCGTGGCTCTCGGAGTCCGCGTCCCGGTGAGCCTGAGGCGGACGAAGGAGCTAGTGGACCGGCGCCTGGTGAGTGGAACAAGGATGGGCCGGGAGGGGCCCGGCGGAGTGGCCCCACGCTGGCTTCGACCCTCAGGGCGGGAGCAGCTTTCCCACGCAGCTGCCGTGGCGGCGAGACCCCCTGGCGGGGGACGGCGGCAGCAGGGGTGTGCGGTGGCGGGTTCTGTGGCTGACGGGCGGCCGGCGTATGCGGGTGGGCGGGGCGGGGGGCCACGCGTGACCAGCGTGTGTGAGGCCGAGCGGTCCGGGGCCAGGCCTGATGGCGTCCCTGTCCCCGTGCTACGCGCTGCAGGCTGAGGGCAGGCGCGGAAACGTGGACGGAGTGCGAGTTGGACACGCGCGGGTATTTCCGTGTCGGCGCCTTCAGGAGTGCATCGCGGGTGGCACCTGTGTGTGGGCCAACGGTGTGCAAGGTGAGTGCTTCTCAGAGAATTCGGCTTCTTTAGGAAAAAGCACATTCAGACAGCGGAAGTACTGACTCAGCGCCAGTACTACCTTAGGTATCTGACTTTACAAGCATCTTTGGTGGTGGCTTTTAGAACTTTTCAGAAAAGTTGGATATTTTGAGAGTTAATTTGAAATTTTTCTTTGATACTATTACATTAGGTGGCTGGGTATGTTCTTTTTTAATATTTGTGAGCATTCTGGAGACACTTCTCTACGTGCCTTTTTCCTGTTTTTTTAGGAATTTTTTTGGTTTTTTGTTTTGTTTTTGAGACAGAGTTTGTAATTTAGTCTGGTCTTAAACTCACTATGTTTTATTTGTTTGTTTTTGCTTTTTTGAGACATGATCTTGCTGGGTAGCTGAGGGTGGCATTGAACTCCTGGCAATCCTCCTGCCTCAGCCTCCCCAGTGCTGGGATTACAGCCGTGCACCACCACACCTGGTTATTTTTAACAATTCTTGTATCATTTTGCCTCTTTCTTTGACTCTTCATTGCCTCCTTCATTTTCTGACCCTAACAGGTTCAACCAGTTGTGACTGCATTGCCACTTTGAGAAGCCCTCTGCTGGGCTTTTTGAGCTTGCATTTGGTCACTTGGTCCAGCAGACTGATTTTACTAAGTACTTGGCCTCATTTCATCCTCTACTACAGTGATTTTTACCAGTGAGAAGTGTATCTTTTTCTAGAGAAGAATATTTTCAGTTCCTTGGCTCTACATTTTGGAAATTATTCCACTGGCTGGGCCCAGACTTTGGTAAAAAGACCCAACTTGGTTAATACTCTGTACTTCAGATGTGGTTTTCTTTCCAGCCTACAGTCATTTCATCAATCCTAGATGAAGGACTTCCAAATCGGTTACCCCTGCCTTGCCCTTGTGTTTATTGTTTTCAGGTATTGCTACAGAAATCACTATGGTGAATGAGAAGTCCTTATATCCTTGGTCTCCTAATTCTTTGGGTAGGCCTTAGTCACTTATGGCTTTCCTCCTATAATGTTCGTTTTAGTATTCTTGACTCCTGACTTCCGTTTTTGCAGTTGCTTCTTTGGAGGTAGGAGTGTTGCTGGCTTTGGGGAAATACTCTCTTATTTGATGTGTCTTAATGTATATGTTTTAAGAACCTGCATTAAAATCATTTTAAAACCAGTTGTCTGTGGTTCAACATATACAAATCAATAAGTGTAATATACCACATAATAAAACCAAGAATAAAAATCATATAATCATCACAGTTTATTCGGGAAAAAATTGGTTAATATTTAGTATCTTTCATGATAAAGTTCCTGAAGAAACAAGGTATTGAAGGATCATACCTTAATATACAATGTTAAAGACTAATTGAGACAAAACCCAGCATAACAGCATTCTGAATGAGGGGAAAAACTGTAAACATTTCCTCTAAAATCAGGAATGAGGCAGTGATCTCCACTGTCCCTGCTCCTGTTCAATACAGTACTTGAAATTTTAGTTACAGCAATTAGGCAAGAGAAAGAAATTTATACAAATATGAAAAGAAGGTGTGAAATTATCCTTATTTAAAGATGATATGGTCCCTGTATTAGACTTCACTAAAATAATTTAACTGGTGAAACATTCAGCAAAGTGTCAAGATACAAAATCATTATTTAAAAAATCAGTAGTTTTTCTATACACAAGTAATGAACTATCAGTGAAAGAAATCAGGAAAACAATTCTAGTCATATTAACAACAAAACACAAACTAGGAATCAGTCAAATCAAGAAAGTGAAAGACCTCTACAGTGAAAACTTATAGAACTCTGAGAAAGAAATTGAAGGAAACATTAGAGATTGAAAGATTTTCCTTGTTTGTGGATTGGCAGAATTGATTTTAAGGGAGCCATGTTACCAAATGCAATCTCCAAATTCAGGCAGTCCCCATCAAACTTCCAATGATGTTCCTAACAAAGCTAAGAAAAACAATCCTAAATTTCATATGGATACACAAACACTCTAGAATAGCCAAAGCAGTTCCAAGCAAAAGAGAACAAGGCTAGAGATACCATAATGTATTATTTTAAATTATACTACAAAGCCACAGTAACAGAAACAGCACAAAAATAGACAGACATATAGACCAAGAGAATAGAATGGAAAACACAGGAACAATTTCATACAACTACAGCTGTCTGATTCTTTTCATTGTTTTATTTCTAACAACAGGTCTCTATAGTTCAGGCTGGCCTCAAACTCACAGCAGTCCTACCTCAGCCTGCAGAGTGCTGGAATTACAGGTTGTGCCACCATGCCCAGCAAGCCATCTGATTCTTGACAAAGGAGCCAAAAACATACATTGGAGAAAAGAGAGCCTACTCAACAAATGTGAGGAAAACTAAATCCCCAATTCTTACTGTTTACAAAAGTCAGTTCAGAGTGAACCAAAGACCTAGGAATAAAACCCAGAAACTTTGAAACTGCTAAATGAAAATAGGAAAAAAAGTTGAAACTATAGGTTTGGGCGACAATTTCCTAAATAGAACCGAGTAGCACAGGAAATAATAGCAAGAATCAACAAATGGGACTACATTAAACTAAGAGTGTGCATAGGGAAACAACTACTGGGCATAGTGGCACACACCTGTAATCCCAGCAGTCAGGAGGCTGAGGCAGGAGGATGGCTGCAAATTCAAGACCACCCTAAACTATACAGTGAGACCCTGTCTCAATAAATAAACAAAACAGACTGAAAAATTTCATCTGAAGAATGGGAGAAAATCTTTGCCAACTACAATTTTTTTTTTAATTTGGTCTTTTTGAGACAGGCTCTCGCTATGCAGTTCAGGCTGCCCTTGGGCTCATTTTGTATCCCAGGCTGGTCTCAAACTTGCAGTGATCCTCCTACCTCAACCTCCCCAGTGCTGAGATTATGGGAGTGCACCACAATACCTGGTGCCAACTATTCTTCTGACAGACGATTAATATTTGGAATATTTAAAGAACTCAAAAAATCAAAACTCCTGGTAATTAGTGGGCAAACAGGCACTTCTTGAAGAAATACATGTGGCCAATAAGTACATCTTTAACTGTTAGCGAAATGCATATTGAAACCACATTGAGATTCCATCTCACCCCAGTCAGAATGGCTGTCATCGAGAATACAAAACACAATAAATGTAGGCAGAGGTACAAGAGGAAGAGGAACCCTTCTGCACTGCTGATGGAAATGTAAATTAGTACAGCCACTATGGAAATCAGTAGTAAGGTTCCTTGAAAGACTAAAAATGGAACTACATTCCTAACCCCCAGCTATACTGTTCCTTGGTATACACGCAAAGGAATTAAAGTCTGCAAACTATAGGAATATCTGCATGCCCATGTTCATGCAGCATAATTCATTATAATCCAGATATGGAACCAGTCCAGGTGCCCATGAACAGATGAAGGGATAAAGAAAACATGACCTATGTATACAACAAGATATTCACTGTTGTAGTCAGAGGTTATGAGGAGAATAATTAGAATCAAGACACAGAGTATATAATATTATTTATGATGGCCACCCAGAGTTAACACAAAAAAGTGCAGAAAATCTATCCACAACACTAAAGACCCAGAATATTCAGCCAAGGGCCTGAATCCCACAGCAATGTCCTGCATGAGTCCAGATGAAGACCTAAAGCCCATAACAGTGCCTCCCATGAGTCCAACTGGATTTCTAGAGCCCACGAGGAGGACTCACGCCAGTCTTTTTTACCAATCTCTGCTGGGAAGGCCCAAAAGTCAGCAGTGGAAGCTAGAAAGTCTATGCCAGAAGGGTGAAGGACCTATGCTGGTAGGTTGAGAGTTGTACACTGGAGCCGAGAAGACACACGCGTAATATAGACCAGGGCAGTCCTGAAAAGCACCACACCCATCCTCAGTGACACAGAGGACCCAAGCTCCTCTGAGGATAAGTACAGTCAAGTACATAACAGAAAGCCAGCATGACAAGTTTGTCCTGGAGATGACACAGCAAATGTCTTCCCCTCCGGAGCCAGGAAGCAATGCGTGATATAAGGACCAGAGCTTCTCCAAGAGAACTAACGGCTCAAACAGCAACACTTAGAGAAACCCATAACACTTCACTTGTCTTCTCCATGTCTCAGTTTATGCTGGCAAGTTTCCTCAGGTGGGATATCTACGCTCAGCACCATGCTAATTTAATTCAGCTGATGTTAAGTTGACCATTAGCTTTTTTTTTTTTTTTGTCTTTTTTGTTTTTATTGATAGCAGGGACCGAACTCATGACCGCACACTTGCAAGGCAGGCGCTTATGCCACTGAGCTAAATCCCCAGCCCCTAACCATCAGCTTTTAATCCGTAACATTCACCCAAAAAGAGAAACAAATTTATGTCATAGGAAAGTGGATGGTGCTGGAGATCATCATGTCAAGCCAAGTAAACCAGACTCAGACAAGTATCACTTATTTTCCCTAATATGTGGAATCTGAGAAAGATAAGTAGAAAGTGAAAGTAGAACAAGACTACTATTAGATAAAAGGAAAGGAATAATGGGAAGCAAAAGAAGGTATGAAGGACAGTGGGGCATGGATAAGATCAAAGTAGATTATATGTACGTATAAAAATACCACGGGAAACTTAACATTTTGTAAAATTAATAGACACTAATAAAATACAGATTTTTAAAATCCAGTTGTCTCCATGAAGTAAAGAGGAATTAGGACTATAGAGCTGCATCTCACTATATAATACTAGAGGTGAATAAAAAGGGATTTGAAGGAATTGTATGACTTTAGGAAACTTTCTCTAGTATAAATGTCACTCTGTAGACAATGGAAAGCCCTTAAATGATCTTACGATAACAGGATTAGTTCTGTTTTCAAGAAATTGTGTTATAGAAAAGCACATTAAAACAATACTGGGATACTATCACATGACTGCTGACAATGACCAAAATCTAGAATTAGCAATACAAAATGCTACTGAGCATGTATTCTTTCCTGCTGGGAGTG